CATCCAGACATCTACCCGTCCATCCATTCATTTTCTATCCATCCAGACATCTACCCATCCATCCACCCATCCACTCACCTATCCATCTACTCACCATTTACCCATATGGGCACACACCTACCCAACCACCCATCTATCTGCCTCTTTATCCCTCCTTCATCCAACAATAGAACATCCCAGGTCCAATGTCAGGTTTTGAGGACACAGTGCTAAACCTGAGCAGCAGAGTTCCTCACTCACGACCTTATCTTGACCTCTTGTTGCAGGTCCAAGGTCTGATCTCAGAGACTTACTTTTAGAAGTACCTGCATACCTTTTCTAGAGGCAGAGCTCTTTACTCCCAATTGATCCTAGGATGAAACAGATTCTGTAATCCCTGACAAGAGATGTTTCATTATCCATACAGCCATTCCTTAGGTCTGCCCACCCCTCCTGCTGCCTGTGGAGGTGATATAATCCACTAGTCCTTTCTTGCTCGTTTGTTTTTAAAGGAATGATTAAAGTTGAGAGAATAAAACTCTGAGCCTCCAGCATGGGTCATATGAAAATGAACCTCACTGGGCGTAACTGTCCCCGCCCACCCCCTGCAGGCTGACTTTGCCGTAGAAGCCTTGGCCAAGGCCACCTATGAGCGCCTTTTCCGCTGGATACTGACCCGTGTGAACAAAGCTCTGGACAAGACCCATCGTCAAGGGGCTTCCTTCCTGGGGATCCTGGATATTGCTGGATTTGAGATCTTTGAGGTACAGCTTGGTGGTATCATGACAGCCAAGGTCTTGGTCCTCTGGGATCAGGCGTCCCCTGAGAGAGAGAGAGCATTATTTTGGAGAAAGGTATACAGATGGCCATTGAAAGAGTATGAAACTATTTACTTAAGGTTAGAAAATTGGGGATATATACAATAGAAATTCAACAGGGAATATATTGATTTGTGTAACCAAGATAGCCAGAGGTTCAGCTGGATCTACTAGTCAGAACTGACCTCCTACATTTCTCTTTGGCTTCTATCATACTGGATCCATTTTCAAATAGGCCATCCCCTCGTGGTGCCAAGACGGCTGCCACTATTCTATGCTGTCTTTCAGCACCCTGAAAAAAAAAAAAGAGGTTATCTCATTTCTAAGCGTTCCAAGCTAAATCTTGGAGTAGGAGTCAATAAGATTCCTTGAGTTGGGCTACTGGTCGCTCCCAAGCCAAGAACTGTTTTCAAGATTTTGAAGAATTTCATGTTGTACAAACCATGACCCCTGGATTTTACTCCCATGGGCTAGAGGAAAATTGTCAGAGAAAGACAAAGTCTTGAGGTTGACGGATATACAAAAGGTGTCTACTACACAATCATTCTGTGTCTGAGCCTCAGTTTCCCCATCTGTAAAGTGTTGGTGAGAACACGTCTTAGCTATACAGGACTGTGCAGGTGGGAGAGATAAGCATCCTAAAACAAGGTTTGTAAGGGCCATGTGACCTGGGCATGTCACTTTTCTCCACCCCAGTGGACTCTGGGCATCCTTCCTTGGGTCCTTGGCCCCTCTCTTCCAGGCCCGTGAGGCCACCGGCAGGGTGGAGCTCCAGGGCCCCCAGCCCTCTGACGTCATCATAGGCTCTCACTAGCCCGCCCCTCTCCATGCCACATGCGCAGGTGAACTCCTTCGAGCAGCTGTGTATCAACTACACCAACGAGAAGCTGCAGCAGCTGTTCAACCACACCATGTTCATCCTGGAGCAGGAAGAGTACCAGCGCGAGGGCATCGAGTGGAACTTCATTGACTTCGGGCTGGACCTGCAGCCCTGCATCGAGCTCATCGAGAGGCCGGTGAGGCGCCACGCGTGCCAGGGGCGCGCACCACACTTGCGCATGCGCGCAGCTGCGCTCAGCCACCACGTGGATCTGCACTTTCTCCTGATTCAGTGCTGTAAACTAATCTCTGTGAACTAAGTCACACGTTATGTTAACCCACATTTTATGATCAAAGGTATTTTTATTTCTCCCCCTTCCTCCTCCGCCCTTGCTGCTGCTTATTACTATTATTGTTATTATTACTTTATTCGTGGTACTGGGGTTTGAACTCAGGGATTTATGCCCTGCCTCTGGTAGGAGTCAATCTTACTTTGATCCAGAAGCAGGATGTTCTTGTCAACAAGGGGAGCTTGATTTAGAAGAGAAAAGCAACATTTTTTTTTTTTGGTACTGGGATTTTGAACTCAGGGCCTTGTGCTTGCTAGGCAGGTGCTCTACCACTTGAGCCATACCTCCAGCCCTTTTTGCTATGGTTATTTTTGAGATAGGGTCTCACTTTGTTGCCCAGGCATGCCTAGATAGACCACTATCCTCCTATTTTATGGTTGTTGGGCTAACAGTTGCTGCCACAATGCCCAGCTTTTCTCCATTGAGATGGGGTCTCATGAACTTTTTTGCTCCAGCAAGCTTGGAACTGCGATCCTCCCAATCTCAGCCTTCCATGTAGCTGCACCCAGCTATTGGTTGAATGGAGTTTTGAGAACTCCTTCCCCCACCCCGGTCTTGAACTGTGATCCTCCCAATCTCAGCCTCTCCAGTAGATAGGATGACAATAGTGAGCCATTGGCACCTGGCTCTCCTCCTCTCTCTCTTTTTTTTTCTTTCCCTTCTCTCTCCCTCTCTCATTCATTGATTCACAAATGTGGGAGTTTGTTTCGTTCACTGATAGATCCCAAGCTCTAGAACAACAGTAGGTGAACTATAAATAATGGCTGAATATCTGCTGAGTACCTACTATATGCTGAGTCCCTTCTTTATGGGTTGGGGATGTACCTGTGAATGAGACAGGCTTGAGCCCTTTCCTCTTAGAGGAACAGGCATAAGGCCACCATGGAGAGTGACTCCATGAGAGTGACAGAGCAGTCAGGAAATGGTTCTCTGGGGCTAAGTCCAGAACAAGACCACTCCAGCAGGGTGCAGGGCACTGCAACACTGGTGACACTCGGGACACCTTAATTTAGACCCTCTCAGCCACAAGGACATGTTTTGCTAAAAGAAATCCTTGGTAGGGTGGCAGGAGTGGTTCAAGTGGTGGAGTGCCTGCCTAGCAAGCATGAGGTCCTGAGTTCAAATCCAGTACCACCACCAAAAAAAAAAAAAAAAGATATCCGTAGTGGATTTGTAAGGAGACAAACAAAATTTCTTTGCAAGAATTGTGCAGTCTCGTTGTGTGTGTTGCCCAGTAGGGGCAGCAGCAAACATGTTCTTTTAGTAGGTGCTAGTTGTGGCCACTAGGCACAGGGTGTTTTGAGGATAGATTTGGGGGTGTGGGGGAATGGGGACATAAATCTATCTGAGATGTAGGCAAATATGGAAACAGAGTCAGGAGATGCTTGTGCGTTGTGTTTGGGTGGTCAGCTTTTCCTGGTGAGCCTGGAGTTTGGATAGCCCTGCCTCACTCTGACTCTGCCTTCCTTGTCCTCACAGAACAACCCTCCAGGTGTCTTGGCCCTGCTAGACGAGGAGTGTTGGTTCCCCAAAGCCACAGACAAGTCTTTCGTGGAGAAGCTGTGCTCAGAGCAGGGCAACCACCCCAAGTTCCAGAAGCCTAAACAACTCAAGGACAAAACTGAGTTCTCCATCATCCACTATGCTGGGAAGGTACCAGGGCAGGGTCCAAGGCTTTCCCAAATGTGTGTGGCCAATCAGATCCTAACCAAGTGCTATATGTGATTTGCCTAAGCATCTGTAGGGGATGAGGCTTAGTCTTTCTAATATAGTTCAACCACGGTGGCTAGGCTGCTCTTTCTTGGAAAGAAATCAAGAAAATCCTTCCTGCTACTAGTTAAACCCAACAGGAAGGGCTAACTGGAACAAGCTGAGCAGTGAATCTACTCTTGCGCTTAACAGAAATCTCCCTGCCATTGCTAGCCTGCTCTAATTGGGGAAATCTCTGGTAGTTGTCGCGTCCAACATTGTTGTACTCATCCTCATCCTGTCTTGGCTGTTAGCATACAGAACGTTGTCTTATGGCTCCCAAGTGTTCTGGATAATATAGAAAATACTTCCTTAGTCTGGCTTGCAGCATTATATTCTTGACTCCCCAGTATTCCCACTGCATCCTGGGAACAGTCAGTACTGCATAACATGGGTTGGCAACTCTAGCCCAAGGGTCAAATCTGACTCACAGCCTGTTTTGTAAATAAAGTTTTATTGGTACAGCCATGGACATTTGTTAACATAAAACCTATGGCTGCTTTTGGGCTACCAGGCAGAGTTGAGTCCTTGTGACAGGACTGTGTGGCCCATCAAGCTGACAATATTTACCCTCTGGGCTCTTTCCCAAAAAACCTTTTCATCTCCTACCTTACATTCAAGGAAGCGCATGTTCCTTTATGCTTGTAGTAGTGACACTTTTTTTCCCCTAACTTCCTGAGTATTTTTTCCAGTTTTCTCACAGATAAGTCCTAGCCATCACCGTAACAACCTGCATCCCATAGTAACCCACCAGAGCTATATTAGCAGTTCCTTTCGTTTAATATGGTGAAAAGCTTTAGGCATTGGGCATGGTCACTATTAAAGTGACCATGCAATTTCAAAAATCTTCAGTCTCCTTTTCCTATACATCCGTGTAGCAAAATCCCCAAGTTATAAGAATCATGTTCGTCAGAGTGGTAAAAAGCACCCCACACTTAATTTTAAAACTATGATTGTCGTCAAATCTTCTCCAAAGTGGGAGGTGATTTGGGATGTCAGGAGGGCTTTCCCTGCCATTAACCCCTTTTCTTTTAGCTCTGTGTCACTCATGGGTATTGTGCTGGGCTCTGGAAAAGGAGAACTCCAGTGGAGAGGGCTACTGCTAGGAAGCGTGGAGCAGAGAGGCCTTCCTGGTACCATTTGTTGATCCCCTACTGTGTGTAGAGCTTGTGAAAGTTCTGATCTGTTGGTCTCTTCTTTGGTGTTTGTGGAGCCCCAACATAGTGGCCACAGATAGAATTTCCTCTTTGACTTTGGAAGACCTGGGAGGGAAATGGGAGGGCTTAGGCCCTGCTGTTGTGTCTGACTGAAACGGGGGTATCTGATGAGTGGGGTGTGCCTCGGCAGGTGGACTATAACGCAAGTGCCTGGTTGACGAAGAACATGGACCCACTGAATGACAATGTGACTTCTCTCCTCAATGCCTCCTCGGACAAGTTTGTGGCTGACCTGTGGAAAGATGGTAAGTCCTGCCTGCTCTGGAGGCTATTTTGAGCAGGATGGTTGAACACCCTAGTCTTCCACCTCTTCCTGCACTCTGACTCACACACCTGCTCCAGGATGGGAGGCCCTGTGCACAGGTCAGGGGAGAGGACCATGTTGGCATGTGTTAGTGATGTCACATTGAGACAGTCAACCTCTTCCTAAATGGGGCTCTTCCTGAGCCCTTCCCATCGTATGTGGTCCCTAGGAAAAAGTCATGAGGTTGGGGGAGGAGATGGTATACAAAATGTGATGAGTTAGACAGTCCCCAACTGAAGTCAGAAGGACTTCACTTCACTAATGCTTGTCTCTGCCCCACGCTAGCTGTGTGATGTTGGACAAGTCTCCTAACTGTAAGCTTCACTGTCCCCATCAGTAACCTGGGAAGACAGTAATAGTTTCCACGTCTTCTAGGACCTTCAAGAGAATTAGATAGACCAGTGATGCTCCAGATGGAGCAAGTTCTGAGATCCCCTCATTAAAATGCAGACTAAGCTCCCTCCCCAGATGTCCTGAGTCGGCAGGTGTGGGGGCCTGAGAGCCTGCATTTCTAGCAAGTTCCCAGGTGGTGTGGACGCTGCAGGTCTGAGGAGCCCCCTCTGGCTCCCTCGGAGTACCAGGGAGCAGATGGTTCTGTGATGCACCACTGTGGGCATTATGAACCTGGTGGGCTTTGCTTGGTCCTGGCCCTGAGTACCCACAGACAATGTCACCTTTGGCACAGAGCCTGAGGCTGCTGGAGATTTACACAACTGGCCTCCTTAATTTGGGCATGGTAGGAAGTGCTCCAGGGAAGGGCCAGCTGTGCCAGGGATTACTGAGCACAAACCATGTGCCAGGCTCTGGACCTCTCACCATGGGTAAACCTCCCCCCTTGGGCCTCAGGACGAGACATCCGGGCCCTTCCCTCCAGAAAGCCTTGGGGGAGAGACAGTCAAGCAAAGATATTGTTATACAGAACTTGAATACAAGGTGCAGAAGTGGGGCAGGCCAAGGGTGAAAGGGTGGGTTTGCCATTTGTTGTACCTACTACACTAGTAGGAATCTCTCATTCCATTCTAAAAAAAGGAGGGGGCGGGGAGTATGTGTCTCCGTAATAACAGTAGCAATGGTAACAGCAGTGGTAATGTCACCAAGTCCTACACTGTTGAGCACTCACTAATGTGCCAGGTTCCTGCCTGGGAGCCTTGCTGTACCTTCTACTTGGATATTCTTTTCCTACGTAACTATGTGGTGACTCACTCACCTCTTTCTGCTCTCTGTTGATCCAATGTCAACTTAGCAGACAAATAACCCCCATTGCCATAAGAGAGAACCCCATATCACCCTTCCCCTTTATCCTTCTTTATTTTCCTACATACACCACATCTCCTGAAATAGTCTATACTTACCTGCTCGTGGTCCGTTTCCTCCCGTTAGATTTCCTTAGACTTGGCAGGGTCTCTGGTTTGTTCTCTAACAGAGAGTTAAGTGCTTTCCCCGCCTCGTTCACTTACTCCTACTGCAGGAGGTAGATGGTGTTGTTGCTGCCATTTTGTAGATAGGGAAACTGAGGCACAATAGGGCACCAGGACAAGGCTACTCTGAGTCAGCACCAAGAATAGGTTAAATCCTGGATCCCTAGGACAAGAGCAAAGGAGATTTGTCCTTCCTGTCACTTGGGCACTCTTGGGATTTCCTAAACTAATCATACTTAGAAGCCCACCTGGCAGAGCAGAAAGCACTGGCCGGTAGAGGGAAGGATAGAGGACAGTGCCCCACTTGGGGACTGCCGCTCCTGCCATCCTTGCACCTGGTCCTCTAGTCTGTAGTGGGGGTGCAAGGCCCTGGAGTGGGCTGGAGATTAATGCTAATTCATGTGCCTCACAGTGGACCGCATCGTGGGGCTGGACCAGATGGCCAAGATGACGGAGAGCTCACTGCCCAGTGCCTCCAAGACCAAGAAGGGCATGTTCCGCACGGTGGGCCAGCTATACAAGGAGCAGCTGGGCAAACTCATGACCACACTGCACAACACCACGCCCAACTTCGTGCGCTGCATCATCCCCAACCACGAGAAGAGGGTGAGGTTCTGCCTGGGGCTCTGGCCCACGGGTGCCCAGGGTGATCAGGATACTACACAGGGCATGGCATTAGGGGACTGTGGGAAGGGATCTGGGAGGCACTGAGGGAAACAAGAGTAGACAGGCAGGAGAAGGAGGTTGGCCTTGTCCCCCAGCCCCCACCTGCCCCAAGGGCTCCATCTGCCATGAGTGGAAGGTCATCTGCACTTGGAGGCAAAAGAAAGCAAGAGAGGAACAGAGAATGTATCTGGGGACTGTCCATCTGTGGAGGTGTGCAGGGCGTTGGGCCAGTCATCGTTTCCGTGTTTTGGTGAATATTTACTGAGCTGCTGTTTGTGCCTGGTGCTTGGGATACAGTGTCAGAGAACTTGCCGGAGGCACATTTGTTTGTCATTACCAGAAGGGAATTGCTATGGCATCTAGCGGATAGAGGCCAGGGAAGCTCTAGACCTCTTCTGATGCACCATGGCTCCATAGCAGAGAGGTCTGAGGGCCTAAATGTCGGGGGTGTTGCCCAAGGACAGGTAGCCACACACTGATAACTAGATGATAAATTGTGACAGCAAGACCTGGGGGCTCCTACCCCAGCCTGCGGGTTCCAAGAAAGCTTTTTAGAGAATGTGAACTTTTAAGAATGAGTAGGCATCAACTTGGTGAAGTGTGTGTGTGTGTGTCTGTCTGTCTGTCCATCTCTGTGTTTGTCATCTCATGGGGTCATCTTAGGCAGAGGGGTCAGGATAAGCAAAAGTATAGAGGTGAGAAATGAAGAGTCTAGGCAAGAAGACGCTAGGGTGGTCATTTCACATTGTGACGGTGTGAGGCAGGGATTGGGGAAGATGAGATGGGGGAGGAGTGTCAGGCAGAACTAAAGGTCATGAATTCCTTATATGCTGACTAGAGCTTCAACTCCTGTCTAGAGAAAGCCATTGAGGGAGTATAAAGAGGGGCGGGTCAAGGTCACATTTACATTTTAGACCAAATGAGGGACTGGAGGCAGGAGGAGGCAGGACTGGAGGGAGATACGGGGAAGTTAGACCTGCGAGATAAACATATACATACATACATACATACATACATACATACATACATAGAAAGAGCAAGAGAATATCCTTATTAGTTGATTTGTCAGAGGGGACTAGGTGGGAGGCGGGAGAGGAAAAGAGAATGATACAGAGTGAATGATACGGAAATACAGTGCATCTGTGTTTGAAGATGTGTGTGTAACAAAGAGCACTGTAAGCTGTTGAATAATAGGGGACCAGGGCGATAAAGAGTAATAGAGGGGGTAAATGTGTGAAATACCATGGCAAAACCCTATTTAACACTCAAAAATGAAGGACAGGAAGGTAAAACAGTTCTTGTCGGGGGGAGGGCACCAGTGGGAAAGGAGAGGGTGAAGGGAGAGGGTGAGGGAGGGGGAATATGGTCGATGTACTTTGCATAAGTATGAAAATAGATGAAACCTGCTGAAAAAAATTGTACTAAGAAGGGCAGAGAGGAAATGAGGGAGAACGATGGAGGGGGGAATCTAGTTAAGGTATATTGTAGGCACATATGTAAATGTCACAATGAAACCCCCCCTGTACAACTTATATATACTAATAAAAATGTAAATAAAAACACTGGAGAGAGAGACCAGGTGGGAGGCTACTGTGGTTGTCCAGATAGGAGAAGATGGTAGCAAGTGGGTAGCAGAGATGGTAGTGATGGAGAAGTATATAGGTTGGCAGAGATTTGGGAGGTGGATAATGGCCAGGAAGTAAGGGAGAGAATGGTGAGGAAGCAGCTCCAGTGTCTAGCCAAGGGATGCCAGTGCCACCAAGTAAAAATGGAGATTTAAGGGACAGATAGTTCCAAAGAAAGAAGATGGAAATTGGGATGTGGTGGCACACACCTGTAATCACAGCACTCGGGAGGCTGAGGTAGGAGGATCAAAAATTTGAGCATGAATTCAAGGTCCGTCTGGGCTGTGTAGACAGACTCTATCTCAAATATATGATTTTTAAAAAGGGGCGGTGGGATGGAAACACATACAGAGTTCATGATGTTGAATGACCCTTGGACTGAAGACCCCAGGGCCTGGCAGGCTGGCTCAAGTCTGGGGCTTGCTGTTCCTCGAGTCCCAGCCCAGTGGTCACTGTCCTCTCCCATCTCTGCAGTCTGGCAAGCTGGATGCATTCCTGGTTCTAGAGCAGCTGCGATGCAATGGTGTGTTGGAAGGCATCCGTATCTGTCGCCAGGGTTTTCCCAACAGAATTGTCTTCCAAGAGTTCCGCCAGCGGTGAGTCCACTGGGCTGGGACTGGGAGGGCGGGGGCCGAGAGGCCTAGGGAGAAGCATGAATGATGGGGACATACTTGGTGACTTCTGCCCTGTGTTTCAAGCTATGAGATCCTGGCAGCAAACGCCATTCCCAAAGGCTTCATGGATGGGAAGCAGGCCTGCATTCTCATGGTGAGTCTGGGCCTGGATCCTCCCCAGATGGCCACCTGCGACCTCCTCAGGTCTCACTTCCACCTGCCACATGGGATGGGACCATTCTTAAAAACACCTCCCCACTGGCCACATGGCCCAGTTGGAAACTCTTCTGCCCTTTGCAGATCAAAGCCCTGGAACTCGACCCCAACTTGTATAGAATTGGGCAGAGCAAAATCTTCTTCCGCACTGGAGTTCTGGCCCACCTGGAGGAGGAACGAGACTTGAAGATTACTGATGTCATTATGGCCTTCCAGGCGATGTGTCGTGGCTACCTGGCTAGAAAGTAAAGTTTCCTGCACCCTAAAACCTCCTCCCCAAAACAGATCAGAAACAAATATCCAGAGGGCTTTCCAGTCCCTTGTTGCAATTCCCTGATTGTAAGACATCTTCTGTTTTAGCTGTGCCTTTGATTGATAGCTTTTAGTTGAAGGGGAAGAAATACCTTCATTGGAAATATATGTACTGGGTACAAAGGTGGGGAAGAAGTGAAGCCAACAGGCTCTGGAGTTTGAGACCTGGGTTCTTATCCTGGCCCTATTTTCTGATGAATCTTAGGCAAGTTCATGTTGGGCCTCTCTGGGCCTCAGGTTTCTCTGGTGGAAAATGAGCACATCGTTCATACTTCATGGAGTTGTTTGTGAGGAATCAATGAAATAGTACTTGAAAAGGACTTAGAACCAGGCTGCTTATCCTTCCAGAAATGGTAGAATATGGTGAAGTATCTGAAGAAAGACCATTTGGCTATATTTCTAGTCCCATGTCCAAACAAGGCTGGGTGCTAAAAGTCATGATGCCAAGTCTGTACTGTGAAGCTTGGGGACAAGGGGAGAGATCCTGTTCCTCAATGAAAGTCACACTCAAAACGGACCTCAGGGGCTGGTGGAGTAGTGCTCTCTCTGTTGTCACTGTGTATAAATCACACCTCATCTGCAGAAACCTGTTTGAGTCAAAGCTGATTCAATGCCAAGACTGGCTCTGGGGGGAGGGGGTCCTGGGTTCAGCAATAGACCTAACTTGTTAAGCTTAATAACTACATTCTGTGTTGCCATCCTTCTCACCTCCAAAATAACTGAGGCAACTGTGATCTTGAAGTGTATCCAGAGCCAAGATGGTGGCCAAGATGGCACCCAACAGTGGCGGCCAGCCATGGCGGCCAGGCAGAGAAATGGGATCAGGTCCACTGTTCTGTGGTTTCTTATGCCTCATAGCCCTTAAAAGGCAGAGTGGTGGTTTGGTGTCAAGGTTTGAGATTTCTCAAATATAACCAACAAAAAATAGGTTTGTCAGGAACTCAACTGACCCAGCTAGACGTGCAAAGGACCTCCATAAGGAAAATGTAGCCCAGATTTGCTTTGTTTCCTGGGTGGTGTTTGGATCCCAGCTCTGAGTCTAGCTCAGAGGGCATTTTGTGAGCCTGGGGTCTTTGTCCACTGACAAAGGCCCTTGCTCTCATTATTTGAGGCATGTGTGTGCAGACAGTGTGCTGTGCTGACGCTTAGAAGGATTGGGGGAGGAGAGAATGGGGGTGTCCCTGTGACGAGCAGGATTCTGGGCCACGGGGGAGGCACACTGTGGGTGCTCAGGGCTCCTTATGGCTTCTTGCCTCCCTAGGGCCTTTGCCAAGCGGCAGCAGCAGCTGACGGCCATGAAGGTGATCCAGAGGAACTGTGCCGCCTACCTGAAGCTGCGCAACTGGCAGTGGTGGAGACTCTTCACCAAGGTGGGTGCTTGGCCCTCCCCCGTCTCAGCAGCCACCTGCCCTCCATCATGCAGCACCTCCCGTCCCCCTGGACTCCCGAGGTGAGGGACTGCAGGTGGTTGAAAGCAGGTGTGAAGCTAAAAGCTTGAACTCAGACCTTGCCCACTGGTGACTTTCCTGATCTGGATTGTGGGTTACAGGTGTGAATTTAGCATAGATCTGGAGTAATTCTATTATTTCAAGGATTCCTCTTATTGCTTCTTCTTCCTTTTCTTTTTTGAGTGCTAGGGATTGAACCCAGGACCTTGCACTTGCTAGGTGAGCACCCTAGCAAGCACCCTTGCTAGGCTATGCCCCAGCCTTTTTCTTGCACTGTTGTAGTCACCCTGTCTTTGCTCTGTAGTCTCTGGCAACCACTGTTCTGTTCTCCATTTCTGTAATTTCATCATTTCAAGAATGTTATGTAAGCCAGCACCAGTAGCTCACTGCTGTAATCCTAGCTGCTTAGGAGGCAGAGATCAGGAGGATTGCAATTCTAAGCCAGCCTGGGCAAATAGCTCACAATCGAAAATACCCAACATAGAAAAGGGCTGGCAGAGTGGCTCAAGTGGCAGAATGCTTGCCTAGCAAGCGCGAGGCCCTGAGTTCAAACCCCAGTACCACTGAAAAAAAAAAAAGAATGTTATGTAAATGGATCTCGTCATCATTTTCACTCAGCATAATTAACTGAAGACCACTCCAGCTTCTTGCCCAAATCAATGGTTCATTTTTTCCTCATGGATGGTAGAGTCAGGGCCACTGGGCACAACTGGAGCCTGCAGCATCACTGGTTGCAAAGGACCAATGGTAAAAAGATGTGCCCATTGTGACAAATGGGCTTCCCTTTCTGTGCCTTTGAGTGTGCAGTTGGTGCAAGCCTTTGTCAGTGAGCAGTATCTATTGAGTGTATACTGTGTGCCAGGCACGGAGCTATCAGTAGGCACCATGATGCCTGGCTTCAGGAACATTCCAGCTGACTGGGAGGCCAAATGATAAACAGATAGTCACAGAAACAAGTAGGTAATGGCAAATGTTCCCAGTGCATGGAGGACACCATAGTGTATACCAGCAGAGGCTCCTGGGGCCAAGCCAGGAGCTGAAGAAGTGGGGAAGGAGCTGTGGTGTACTCTTTTTTTTGGAAATGTTCATTCCTGTTGACTCAAGTTCTGGAAAAGTATCCTATGAAAACCATCTGACCCAAAGCAAACCAGGAAAGAACGGTGTTCCTCATGGCGTTATTGACAGCGCCAGCACTTCAATGTCTAGTCTTTTAACAGACTGACAGGTTCACCCCTCAGTGGAAAAAAAATCAACTCTTAAAAGCAATGGCATCTCGAAAGAAAATTGTAAACTCAGCATGGCCTAAGAAATAACACGTGACTTTAAATAATAAGAGCAACATGTAAAAGTAAGCTAGATGGGCGCTGGTGGCTCATGCTTGTAATCCTAGCTACTTGGGAGGCTGAGATGAGGAGGATAGTGGTTCGAGGGCAGCCCAGGCAAGTAAATAGTTCACAAGACCCCATCTGCAAAATAACCAGAGCAAATGGAAGTGTGGCTCGAGCTGTATAGCACCTACATTGTTAGTACAGAGTTCAAACCCCAGTCTCACCAAAAACAAACAAACAAAACTCAGAGGTACAATACAGAAAAGGACCAAGGCAATGCAGGGAGTACTGACAGTCCCTTTGGAGGTAGCAGGTGAAGAATTTCCCCGTTTCTCCTTGGAAGGAATACAACTGTTTCCAGCAATAGTTCTTTCTCGGGATGGTCCTAGGCTGAGAAGGAGACACTTTCTCCTTTTATTTTGCCCTTTTTTGGTTGCTCTAATGAGAGTTGCTTGGACTGGAATGTAGCCCAGTGGTGGAACACTTACCAAGCATGCACCATGCCCTGGGTTCCATACTCAGCACCACAAAAACAACTACAGGGAGTCCCTAGACCTTACCCCTGTTAATGTTTTGGGCTTTATAATTCTGTGTGGTGTGATTTATCTGATACATTCAGGATATTTCACGGCGTCCCCAGCCTCTACCCACTAAAAGCCAGTAGCAGCCCCCACTCCAGCTGTGACAACCAGTAATGTCCCTGGACATTGCCCAGTGTCCCCAGGATGGACATCAGTGGGCAAAATGGTCCACAGCTTATAACTCCTGATTTAATGTGTGATGACCACAAGCGCAAATGACGGCTGTCCATGTGTGTGTGCAGGTAAAGCCACTGCTGCAGGTGACACGGCAGGAGGAGGAGATGCAGGCCAAGGAGGACGAGCTGCAGAAGATCAAGGAGCGGCAGCAGAAGGCAGAGAGTGAGCTCAAGGAGCTGGAGCAGAAGCACTCGCAGGTGTGGACAGGGGGCGTCCGTGCGGCCAGGGCTGCAGCTGTCCATGGGCCCAGGGTTCAGCCAAGGGCAGGGTGAGCCTCCCCGCTCACCGGCCACCTCCTGCCCCCACGTGCAGCTGGCCGAGGAGAAGAACCTGCTACAGGAGCAGCTGCAGGCAGAGACCGAGCTGTATGCAGAGGCTGAGGAGATGCGGGTCCGGCTGGCAGCCAAGAAGCAGGAGCTGGAGGAGATCCTGCACGAGATGGAGGCTCGCCTGGAGGAGGAGGAGGACCGCAGCCAGCAGCTGCAGGCAGAGAGGAAGAAGATGGCCCAACAGATGCTGGTGAGGCATTGCTGCCTGTGGTGGGGTCAAATCACTGGGTCCTCACCATGAACGTCTGGTGATACGTGTCCTTGCTGGGCAGATGAAGAGAGTGGGATAGCTGTCTGCCCCTGGCCACAGAACTAGAGCAGGGATTGAACACGAGTCTCTTCAAGAGCTCCCTCTGGGGCTGTGAGTGGTGATGCACACCTATAATCCCAGCTACTTGGGAGGTGGAGGTAGGAGGATCAAGGTCCAGGCTGGTCCAGGCAAATGGATTTAATCTTACCCAAAAAATAACTAAAAACAAAAGGATTGGGGGCATGGTTCAAGTGGTAGAACACTTGCTTAGCAAATATAAGGCACTGAGTACTACCAAAAAATGGTGGGGGACAGGGGAAGAGCCCACTCTTTCCCACTGCCCTGCCTTCTGTGGGCTGACACAGAATCACCCAATAGCAGCCTGGTGGGAGGGGTAATTGTACTTGTCAGGGTAGCTGCATAACAAAACAGCCCAAACTTTGCACCTCAAAATAATATATATTTATTACACAGAGTTAGCAACCTGGGGCTTAGCTGGATAGTTCTAGAGGGGGTGTCTCTCATGAGGTTTGCAGTCAGGATGTCAGCCAAGGCCACAGGCATTTGAAGGCTCAACTTGGCTGACAATCCACTTCCACATGGCTCACGTACATGGACGTCACAGGCCTCAGCCTCTCAGCACATGGACCTGTCCCTGGGGCTCCATGGGTGTCATGACAACATGGTGGCAGGCTGTCCCAGGAAGGAGAAGGGAGGAAGGCAGGATGCCTCTTACAGCCCCATCTCTGAAGTTACCTCTGTTACTTCCTCCTTTTTGCATATATTAGGTGCCTGGCATAGGCCAAGCCAACACCCAAGGGGCAGGGAATTGGGTTCACTCTTCAAGACAGGTGGACATATTTTTAATTTTTTTCTTTTTTTTGGTGGTACTAGGGTTTGAACTCAGGGCCTCATGCTTGCTAGGCAGGTGTTGTTACCACTTGAACCATCTGCCAGGCCTCTTGGGCATATTTTTGAACGGCGATGGTACCCACCAAACTCCACAAAGCAGAGCAGCTTACCTGATCCTCTTCTTTCTTCCTTTCGGAAGGAGACTTCAGAGTTCAGGGCGCCACTAGGCCAGGCCTCAGCGCTGGTTAGTTCTGAATCCCCTGAGACGACTTGGTTCTAAGTGAAGCGGTGATTCTTTTCCTCCCCGACAAAGGACCTGGAAGAGCAGCTAGAGAAGAGGAAGCTGCCCGGCAGAAGCTACAACTTGAGAAAGTCACAGCCGAGGCCAAGATCAAGAAACTGGAGGACGACATCCTAGTCATGGATGATCAGAACAATAAACTGTCCAAAGTGAGTAGGGCAGAGCCTCCGTGTTAGAAATGCCAGGCTCACCTGGGGACATGGCACTTCCAGTGCCTAAGGCAGAAGAGCCCTGGGCAAATGGGGACAAGCTGGTCACCCCAGTGAATAAGCACTGTTCTCCTTGGAGTACTTTGAGCTGGGTATCAACTGCACCCTTCCTGTGAGCCCCGCCCTGTGCTAGGTGCAGGGCATGGGTGGTGTTGAAAGCCCTTGCTGTGAATGGGGGGGGGGACTTGCACTCCAAATAACTCTTAATTACCACTGTCCCAGGGCTCTGAGGTGTTCACAAGAGTAGAGCCCTTGGGAATGGAGGAGGATATTCAGGGAAGACTTCCTGGGGGAGGAAACATTTAAGTGGAAACCTGTAGAATGAGAAGCAGTTAGAGAAAGAGGAATGGAACAGCACAGCAGCCCAATGGTCCACTGGGCTAAGGCCCCGAGGCAGAGACCAGCTGGCTCGTGGTTGGAAAGATATCCCCTTCAGCTGAACGTGAGTGTGAGGGGCAGACGGCATGACGGGAGAAGCGGCCAGTTTGGGAAACTGTTAAGAGACTTCTCTTTGCCATTGAAAACTGTGGTTTGGGCAGGCCTATAATTCTAGCTACTCAGGAGGATCTTGGTTCAAAGCCAGCCCTAGGCAAATAGTTCAAGAGACCCTATCTCAACAAAAAAAAAAACCCATCGTCAAAAGGGCTGGTGGAGTGGCTTAAGCAGTCAGCACCTGCCTAGCAAGTATGAGGCCCTGAGTTCAAACCCCAGTGCTGCACAAAACAAAACATGTAATTTGCATTTGACTAAAATGTGGGTTTATTTAGAAAAAAACTAAAAGTAAAATACAGGTCATAGAGGAAAGCAAAAAAGCTACCACTGTTTCTTTCTCTTTCCCCCACAAAGGAACGAAAACTTCTTGAAGAGAGGGTCAGTGACTTGACGACGAATCTAGCAGAAGAGGAGGAAAAAGCCAAGAACCTCACGAAACTGAAGAACAAACATGAGTCCATGATTTCAGAACTCGAAGGTAAGCCATCACTGTCACCTGAACAGGCGTCCAGTGGGTGTCTTCCAAACCAGGGGAGGCAGAAAGAATCCCTGAGTGGCTGGTTGCTCTGAATGACAGACTCCATCCAGGGCACAGTGGTCCTACAGGTGGCTTCTGTCAGGCCTGACTTTCCCTCTGTGGGACAAGGGCTGGGCCCGAGGATGTCGCCCGTGTGAAGTCTGAGCAGAAAGGCTCACTCCAGGCGTCCTCCTGGTACACCCACCTCCTGAGGCGGCCCTGGCTCTGTTGCAGTGCGGCTGAAGAAGGAGGAGAAGAGCCGACAGGAGCTGGAGAAGCTGAAACGGAAGCTGGATGGTGAAGCCAGTGACTTGCACGAGCAGATCGCCGACCTCCAGGCACAGATTGCAGAACTTAGGATGCAGCTGGCCAAGAAAGAGGAGGAGCTGCAGGCGGCCCTGGCCAGGTAGCTAATGGCTGGCCAGCTGGGTGTGTCACTCTGTGTTCACTGCCAGTCATAATGGTTTTCTTAGTTGAGGTGGCCCCAGGACCTTGGCATGGACTTTGCTTCCCAGGCCAGGCCTCCCAGCCTCACTGCTGACTTTCTTCTTGTCCCTACAAACACATCCTCACCTTGCTGTCTCCCTTCTCCTGTGGGATTGGTGCTACCTCTGGGATGCCCAGGCCTTTCTGGTCCCCACCCCAGCTCTAAGTCTCCACTTGCCCACTGAGTCCACTTCCATTGCAAATGGATCCAAATCTCCTCCTGGCTTGTGCCTGCCCTTCTCCCCTACCTACAAACGCAGTGGCCCTGGGTCACCTGTCCTTCCAGAGCCGCTCCCCACTCCCACCTCATTCATCTTTCCCTTTTCCTGGTGTGTAGCCGGCCTCACACTGGGGACACTGAGCATAACAACTGTCACTTATTCCCCTGCTGGCTCTGCCCGAAGCTCTCCAGCAGTGCCTTTGCAGATGCCTGGCCAGGTGCTGCTGTCACCTTCACTGGGGTGATGACCAGGTGTCTCTCACCTCCAACAGGGAGAACTGGGATCAGAGGTTTCTGAACAGTCCCCTGGCTCTTCTCTCTTCTAACTTGGGCTACAGGACAGTGCTGGGGTGATGGCTGCAAAGGTCACTCTGGGGCGTGAGCCTGCTCCCAAACCTGGCCACTTACTGGGAAAGAGCCAGTGCCTGAGCCTGGCTGTCACCTCCGGTCCCACCCTGCCCCAACTGCTCTGCCTACAAGCACAGTGACAGAAGAGCACTCGCCTGTCCCTGGGCTCTGTGTCCTTCCTCACTGTCCATCCATCAAAGCAGACGTCAGTTTCACCGTGCCGCTGCAAGTGCATGGCACAGAGTGGGGCTTGGTCACTGTTTGAGCAAACGAAGGAGGGCAAATAATTGTTCAATATTCAGAAAGCATCTACTAGAGGCTAGGGGTGTGAGGCCCTGGGTTCGATCCCCAGCACTGAAAACATATGTACATATATGACAAAGAAAGCATTTATTAAGTACTTGCTGTGAACCAGGCACCTTGCTGGTCTGGGACTGATGTTTATACACACACACAAATACAAATACCTTCATTTTTTTCCTTTTTCTTTTTTTTTTGAGAGAGGGTCTGGTTATGTATCCCAGGTTGGCCTTGAACTCCCAATCCTCCTCTCTCAGCCTCCTGAGTCCTGGGATCACAGGTGTGCATGACCACGTCTGCTATCACCTGCTTTTTTTTATATCAGACCTGGCATTCTCGTCCCATGTGTAAATCTCCAAGCTGTCCAGTATAGCAAGAAGCAGTCCCTCGTGTCTTAGGGACATGGGTAGGATGCGTTCTGATATCCTTGGAACACTGTGGCTGGTCCCCAGGATGTTTTTGGTGGCATGGTGACCCAGCCTTCATGGCCCTGGGGTCTTAATCCCGGTGGCCCCTCCCTGACAGGCTGGACGATGAAATCGCCCAGAAGAACAATGCCCTGAAGAAGATTCGAGAGCTGGAGGGTCACATCTCAGACCTGCAGGAGGACCTGGACTCGGAGCGTGCAGCGAGGAACAAGGCGGAGAAGCAGAAAAGAGACCTGGGGGAGGAGCTGGAGGCGCTGAAGACCGAGCTGGAGGACACACTGGACAGTACAGCCACCCAGCAGGAGCTCAGGTGCGAGGACCAGCGGCCCCTGTGCGTGTGGGGGAGGGGAAGGGGAAGGGGAAGGAAAGATCACCGACCCATGCAGAACCGAAGCACGGGATTTTCACGCCCTGTGCCCTGACTGCCGACTGCACCTTGTCCTAACAACAGCGTGAGTGTGCCTAATCTCATTTTGCATCACCACAGTAACACATACTCAATTAGAGAACAACAGAAAGCAGTCATCAGAAATTTTTCACCTTCAGTCCCACTCAGTTAACATTTGAGTAACTTCTTCCTGTCTTTTTGTCAGCGTGCATAAGTAAATCGCCGAGAGTACGATTTGCGTTAAATTTTTAAAATACTAATCATAAGATGGTCTTCAGCTTAAGATTCACTCCAAGTAAACAGACCACAACAAAACAACAATAGAGTACCTGCCAGATAATGAAGCTGACTCTAGTGAAACTAGGTTACGTATTCACTCAACAAACAAAACTGTACTTGGAATCCATCCTGTGCCAGACGCTGTGCTGACACTGTGTGCCAGAGGTTTGTTTCCCACACTCGGGTTTTGTGCTGGGTTGCTCACCTGCACTTAGAGGCCACACAGCTTTCTTCTCCCCTCCCACCTGGTCAGCAATACAGAAAAGCCCAGTGTGGGCTCTAAGTCATGGTTATGTCACACAGTGGGTAAGACCCCCTGGGCAGGCTGCTTACCCTGCCTTAATTTCCTCGTCTGTAAAATGGAAATAGTAATGTCTCTGCCTCTTAGGGCTGCTTTGAGGAAGAGATGATGTATTAAAAAGTCTTAGCTCAGAGCCTAGCATGCTGTAAGTACTCAAGAAGTAAGAGCCAGTATTCACGTTTAGGAAGATGTCACAGATCACAGACATTCTTTTACTATTTTTGCATATTCGTTTGTCACCCATGAGAGAGATTCTAGACGGGTAATAAACTCCACATTTCACAGCTGAAAAAACTTCAGCCCAGAGAGGTTTGGTGAATCTCTTAAGGTCACACAGCAAGGGAAGGGTGGTAATGAGAGCCAGCGCTGGGTCCCGGGAGAGCTCTTCTCCCTTTGCACAGTGCTGTGGGAGGCAAACCTGTCTTGGCCTGAGTACCATCTGCTGTGTTCGTCTTGCCAAGGGCTAAGAGAGAGCAGGAGGTGACTGTCCTGAAGAAGGCTCTGGACGAGGAGACCCGGTCTCATGAGGCCCAGGTGCAGGAGATGAGGCAGAAGCACACGCAGGTGGTGGAGGAGCTCACGGACCAACTGGAGCAGTTCAAGAGGGTGCGTTGCGATGCTCTTAGTGACAATGCAGAAATGCAGTGTGCCCACATCTCCGTGCAATTACGGATTGAGCATCCTCGTCCAAAAGTCTACAAGGCTCCAAAATCCAAAACTTTTGTGCACCACAAGTGGAAAATTCCACACCTGACCTCACGTGATGGGTCACAGCCAGGTGCACTAAAGATAATGGATAGCTGGGTGAGGTGGCTCACGCTTGTAATCCCAACTACTTAGGAGGCAGAAATCAGGAGAATCATGGTTTGAGGCCAGCCCCCACACAAAGTTAGCAAGACCTCATCTCAAAACAAGCCAGACTGGGCAGGTGCAAGGGTGTAGTCCAGTGGTACAGTATTTGCCTAGCATGTGTAAGGCTTAAGTTCAGTTCCAAGTACTGCAAAAAACAAACAAAAACAGAAACACCAAGCAGGCAGGGTGACACACACCTGTAATCCTAGCTATGTGGGAATCATAAGTAGGAGGATCAAGGTCTGTGGGCAGTGCCAGGCAAAAGTGAGACCCCATCTGAAAAATAGCTAATGCTAAAAGGGCTGGGAGTGTGGCTGTAAGCATTTGCCTAGACAAGCATGTGAGTTCAAACTCCAGTACTGCCAAAAATAAAAATAAAAAAAGATATCGTATAAAGTTATCTTCAGGCCACGTGTAGATGAAACAAAGGAATTTCATGTTTAGACTTGGGTCCAGCCGCCCAGCTAGTACATGACACACCAGTGACTCACACCAGAGTCGCCATCTGGCTCTGGGCCTCCCTCCTGGCCTCTACAGGGCCGAGTCTACAACCCAGCACCCCTCAGGGACTGGGAGGTTTAACTAACATAAAACAGAGAGCGTTCTCTGCAGGCTGGAAGAAAACTGTCATTCAATTTCAGTGACAACACGGCTCTCGGTGCAGAGTTTGTTTTGCAGTACTGGGCCTTTGAACTTTGGGTCTGGCTCTTGCTAGGCAGGAGCTCTACCACTTGAGCCAAGTCCCCAGCCCTGGTGGCATAGTTTAAGAGCGGCAGGCTCGAACAGCTCTCTGTCCCAGGGTTGGGTCATGTGTGGTGTCTGGGATTGGTGTCTGGCACTGGAGGCATTCTGAAGATCTTACCTGGAGGCCATTTTTCTCCCTTTGGAGGCTCCCCTTGCCCTCCAGCTCCAGGGCTGGGATTTTAGCTGTGAGCTCCTGGCTCATCGCCTCTGGCCCTCAGTGTCACGGCTCCTCCACACTCCATCTCTCCCCCACTGGGGTGGGGGGAGGACCACACAGCATTTGCTAAACTTCACTGAGACTTTGCATTGGTTTCTGTCGCCAGTCCAGATGAACACCCTTCTATGAGGTGGTTTTCCAGGCACTTTTCTGAGAACTGTAGTCTTCATCTTTGCACTAAGTTAAGAACTTAGTGCTTATCATGGTCTCATCCCATCCCAGCTATGTCCCTTGTTAAATGCAATTTCTAGACTCCCCCTCGGTCCTGATGGAGGGGGTCTTGGGACTGGAGTGAGCTTTCTCTCACTCCCTTGTTATTACTGAACCTAACTGGGGCTAACTGGGCAGTGACTGGAGATGCAGAAAGGACACAGGACAGACAGACAGAAAGAAAGTTGGGGCCAGGTGTGTTGGGTACTCAGATGGAGCACCAGTCTTACTGCTTCTGTTCTCTATTATTCTCTTCATTTTATTTTGCTTCTTTTCTCTATCTTTATTCTTTAAGGCCTTACTCCTTTACAGTTCTTTAAAACCTCACTTCTAAAGTCTTCTTTTCTGTTCTTTAAAGTTTCTTCCCTTAGACTTGCACTGTCCCATGTTCTTTCTTAGCTTTTCTTTAGAATTATCTCTCTTAAAGTCTTTGCCCTCAGACTTGCACTCTCCCATGTTCTCTTCACCTTTTCTTTAGCTTAGCTTTTCTAAAGCCTATGTATAAAGTTCTCAGTGCAGACTTTCTATCAACCCCTCTTTAGCAATTCCCCTTTGGCAATTCCCTTTCAGCAATTCTTTTCCCTTCCGCAATCCTTTTCCCTTCCAAAGCCTCCCACATCAAAAAGCCAAAGCCAAAAGCCCAAAGCCACCCCTGGCCTCCTTCAACAAGTCTTTTATACCTGGTGGTAAACAAGGAGATGGAGCAGCAGTTGGGGAGGGCGTGACATTGTAACAAGAGAAACCTGCGTTTCTACTTCTCTGAACACAAACAACTTGGGAAAAGCAGCTGCTGTGCATTTTCCTCTTCTGTGGCCAGGGCTGTGCCAAACTCAGCCTACAGAACATTGGGCACAGCTGTGCTATGTCCAGTTCTCATAGGCTTCTCATAATCAGCTCTCCACAGGGACCACCCTGTGAGTGCTGTCTCAGCCAGTCACCCGTGGCTCATGCCTATAATCCTAGCTACTTGGGAGACTGAGATTGGGAGGATCAAGGTTCAAGACCAGCCTGGGCAAATAGTTTGGGAGACTCCCATCTCCAAAATAACCAGAGCAAAATGTACTGGGGGTGTGACTCACATAGTAGAGTGGCTGCCTTGTAAGCACGAAGCCCTGAGTTCAAACTCCAGGCCCACTAAAAAAAGAAAGTGATGTCCCAAACCAAACTCGCCTTCACTCTTCAACTGAATGCAGGGACACTTGTTCGTGTCCCATTTATCTGTCAAGTGGGATCTGAATATTAGCCTTAAACAATTTGACCATTCTGTATATTTTGGCTAAATAACATTTTGCTAGTTATAAACACAGTGTCCATTTCTGCTTTCAGTGGTCTTCCATTTTTTATGCTTAACTGGGCTGTACCCACCCTTTAGGGGGAGTGGTACTGAGGATTGACACCAGGGCCTCAGACTCACTGGATAGGCGCTCTACTTGAGCCACACCTCCAGCATTTTTTTAAATTTTATTTTTGAGACAGGGTCTCACTCATTTTACTCAGGATGGCCTCAAACTCTTGATCCTCTTGCTTCTGCCTCCTGAGTAGCTGAGATTACAGGTATGAGCCACCTATCACCAGCTCATTCCCACCTTTTGAAACGACTGGCCCTCTGGGCAATAAAGAGCTGTACATGTCCCCTTGAATTTTCTGGATGGGGCCCCAGACAGGAGCTGGCCATTCCTTAAGACAGAAGTAGGGCCTAGAAGGCACACCCCACATTCACAGCTAAGCCTCTTTGGAAGGACTCTGCTTTTAAACACTGCCTACCTCAGGCACAAGATAAAAGAGTACTGTCTGTACTTGACCTCTGACAAGTATATATATATATATATTTTTTTTTTCAGTATTGTGGTTTGAAGTCAGGGCCTTGTGCTTGCTAGGCAACCTGTCTACCTCTTGAGCCACTCCCCAGCCCTTTTTACTGTAGTTATTTTTCAGATAGGGTCTTATGCTTTTGCCTCAGACCATGATCCTCCTACCTCTGCCTCTTGAGTAGCTGGGATTACAAGTATGCCCCACCATGCTTGACCAGAACATTATTTTTTTTTAAAAAGCTAGGAGTGCAGATTTTTATATGAAATCTATTAAAATATTACCAACTGATTTTTTTTTTTTAAGTACAGAAAGGGTCAAAGGAGACCCGCCAGCAGGTTGGGTGTAGCTCATGGGATAGCAGTTCATAACTGCATGCTTTAGGAAAACAGAATCCCAGAAGACTTGCCAGGGTTCTGTGCTGCCAACCCCCACCACCCCAGACCTGAGAGTGTCCAGCACAGCCAGTGGGAGGGAGGAAGGGAAACAGGAGGACGTTAACCACGACCACAGCCACGGCCCTCACATCTCCCTCCTCTACTTCCTGGGCCAGGCCAAGGCGAATCTGGACAAGACCAAGCAGACACTGGAGAAGGAGAACGCAGACCTGGCCAGTGAGCTGCGTGTCCTGGGCCAGGCAAAGCAGGAGGTGGAACACAAGAGGAAGAAGCTGGAGGTGCAGCTGCAGGAGCTGCAGAACAAGTACAGCGATGGGGAACGTGCCCGGGCTGAGCTCAATGACAAAGTCCACAAGCTGCAGGTGAGGCGCAGGTGTGCGGCCGGAGGTGCTGCTTGGCTGACCCAAGTCCCTCTGGCTCCAGCAAGTCAGCTGCCAGGGAGGTGGTCTCCATGTCCAATCTAATCTTGTAAAAATCTGCATCCACACACTCAGCAAGCATTTATTGAGTACCTGCTGTATGCTCAGCCCTGTGGTTAATCCTGAGATACAAGAGCAAGGAAGAAAGCATCCACTGTCCTTGTCCTAGTAGAACTCCAGCCTGGTGGGGCAAGGAGAAGACATTGCTGATCACACAAATGGATGTAAAATCATCCTGGAAGGGGAGGCACAAAAGTCATAAGTGTAAATACTATGGGAGCCTGGCCTGGGTGGGAGGAGTCAGGGAAGCCTCTTTTGAGAAGACTCTCATCAGATGGATAAATTAAAGCCTGCCTGGCAGAGGGACAGCATGTGCAAAGGCCCAGTGGCCAGACAAGGCTAGTAGCATTGAAGTACCAAGTTGGGAGGAGAAACACAGTACAGAATGGGACTAGAGGAGGTGGGTGTGGCCAGATAAGGAAAGACCTTCGGGGTCCCATTAGGTGAATGCTGGTCTTTACTCTGAGTGATGAGGCACTGTTGAAGGGTGGTAAACCAAGGGATGACTTAGTCTATTTAATTTGGTTTTGAAGACATATTTAACCTGACTTTGCAGTCATGGAAAATGGCAAAAAGTTTGCTAAATAATGTGTTTACAGCCTGGGACAAGGGGGCAGAGGAAATACTCAGTATGATTTTTTTTTTAAACACAGACAATTGGTAGTAGGGCTTTTGCCACCCTAAAACACACAATGTCCTGGAATAACAGAGTCAAGGTCATCCATGTCCTCATTGTAAATGGGAGAAGAGTGACAGCTAACATCTTCAATCTGACCTTTTCAGGGACACCAGGGGCTGGAGTAGAAGGCTGAGATGCAGTAGAGGGCTTTTCACCTTTGGGGTCTGCATCTTTGGCTGTACTATGAGGGTTGGTGAAAAGGCAAAGCATAGGGAAGGTGGGGACAGGAGCCTGTGGATAATCACGTGCCATCCAGTCTGTCAGCAACAGGCCTCTCAGACCTGTTCCTCATCTTTGCTACCCCTGGCAGGGTTCAATTAGTTGGGTCAGGGCCCGGTCAAGATGGTTGGGGTTCAAATAGGTTCTCAGAACTGCATAGTCCATGGCCAGGAACCCCGACTTGTATGATCGGCCTCCCTTAGGAGCCAAAGGTACTTTCTTCTGCACTGGACACCTCCAGGCCTATCCCATGGAGGCATGGGATGTCTTGTTGAGCAAAAAAGAGTTTCTTCTTGTCTAATAAAGATCCTGTCCTAGAAGTTTCGACTAACCAAGTCTCTTGGCACCCCCAGAATGAAGTGGAGAGTGTCACAGGCATGCTCAATGAGGCGGAGGGCAAGGCCATCAAACTGGCCAAGGATGTGACATCCCTCGGATCCCAGCTCCAGGACACCCAGGTGAGGACCCTGCCACATCCGGCAGGGGGACCTGGGAGGCGACCTTCCTTGGGGTGGCTCCCTGGCATGGCACCTCCGTGTGTGCTTCCCGTAGGAGCTGCTTCAAGAAGAAACCCGGCAGAAGCTTAACGTGTCAACCAAGCTGCGCCAGCTGGAGGACGAGAGGAACAGCCTGCAAGACCAGCTGGATGAGGAGATGGAGGCCAAGCAGAATCTGGAGCGCCACATCTCCACTCTCAACATCCAGGTGCCCACCCGGATCCTCGCTCCTTTCCTTCTGGGCCTGGAATTCTCTTTTGGATTGAGCTGAGTGTGGCCACCATCTTGCTTGCTCACCAGCTCCCCCTGCTGTTGGGTTTTCTTAATGGGAAGGCCTGGTGGGCAGGCTTGGGGTCACTCCCAGCTCTGTCCTCACCCCACCCTGCCCTGCCTGTCATTTCAGCTCTCTGACTCAAAGAAGAAGCTACAGGACTTTGCCAGCACGGTGGAAGCCATGGAAGAGGGGAAGAAGAGGTTCCAGAAAGAGATCGAGAGCCTCACCCAGCAGTATGAAGAGAAAGCCGCTGCTTACGACAAACTGGAAAAGACCAAGACCAGGCTTCAGCAGGAGCTGGACGACCTGGTCGTTGATTTGGACAACCAGCGGCAACTGGTGTCCAACCTGGAAAAGAAACAGAAGAAGTTTGATCAGGTAGGAGCAAGAGTCCCCAGCCTGGCCTGGGACACGGGGTGGTGGCTGGTGTCTGCATCGCATCCCTGCTTTGCTAGAAGCAATGGAAAACTGTCTGATCTTGCCTTGGGTGACCACGAGAGGGTCAGTAAATCAGAGTGAGGACACCAGTATTATGAGGGCCACCTGCAAAGAGTGACACCTTAGTTTCCAACTCCAGTAAGGAATGAGGTTCATAGATTTTACCTCCTCAGTGAACATTCATGGAATACCTGTTGAGTATAACAAGAGGGGCTGGCAGAGTGGCTCCTGGCAGTAAGAGCGTCTGCCTAGCAAGCCTGAGGCCGAGTTCAAACCCCAGCACTGACACACACACACACACACACACACACACACACACACACACACACAGTAATTCAAAGTTTCTGCTCTTTAATCCCACTCTGCCCTAACATTTCATGAAGTGAAATGTCAAGTACACTGCAAAGTGGAAGGAATGACACAGTGCACACCTGTACAGCCACCACCTGGGTTCAATCATTGACATTTGACTACAAGCACTTCACACGTCCTTATTCATAGGGTGAATCCTATCTATCAATCGTGTTTTATATTTTGGGTGCTTTCAAGGCACCCAAATCGCAGACACCTGTATACTTCTCCCTCACTTCCTCAACATTTCGTATTAACTAGAGCTCATTTTGAAAATTAATCATGCCGCTGAGTAAGGTAGTGTATGTCTCTTACCCCAACATTGCAGAGGCCGAGGCAGGAGGATTCCAAGTTCAAGGCTAGCCTGGGCTACATCATGAAACCGTGTCTCAGCTGGCAGAGCGACTCAAGTGATAGAGAGCCTGCCTAGCAAGTGTGAGGCCCTGAGTTCAAACCCTAGTACAGCAAAAAGGAAAAACAATGAAAACCTGTCTCAAGAAAACAAACTAATGGGTGTGGCTCGAGTGGTGGAGCGCGTGGGGGGCGGGGTCCGTGCTGTTGGGGGGGCTGCATTACTAACCTGTCTTTGCTTAGTTCTGTGAGTCACAATCTGTAATGCTCTGCTTTCTGAAGACAAGGATCCATCTGCTTATTCTCCAAGTGGAGGGCTAAGCCAATCAAGCCATACTCACCATTTCCCTGCCTTGGGAGATGGCTGCTTGTGGCCCTGTAGCAGCAAAAGAATAAGTGGCCTCTGGTAGCATTTGATCTTGCTTTGCCCTCAGTAGCAAGATGTTCCAACCAACATGAGCGACTTAAGCTAGAAGACAAAAGCAAGATTTTTTTTTTTTTTTTTTTTAGTGATACTGGGGTTTTGAACTGAGGGGTTCACACTTGCTAGGCAGGTGCCCTACCACTTGAGCCACCTCCCCAACCCTTTTTGCTTTAGTTATTTTTCAGATAGGGACTTACACTTTTTGTAGAGGCTGGCCTGGGTAGACAAGTCCCAGAAAGGTCACTGGACAGGATAATCCTCAATGACCCTCTGACCTTCCCGAGATAATGGCTTACAAGTGGGTCATGGCTTAAGGCCAATGTCTATTTTTCTTTAGGGCTGTGTGGAGAGTTTTCAGTAAGTCACCTTCAAGGGAGCGGGGATTCAGTTCCAACATGACTTCTTTTTGTTCACCCTAACACACTTTTTGTAGAGGCTTGCCTCGGACTGCAGTCCTCTTCCCTCTGCCTTGAACCTGGCCACCATGCCTGGCTTGTTCTTTTGAGATACGGTCTCAATAACTTTATGCACAGGCTGGCCTCAAACCATAATCTTCCTGTCTTTGCCTCCCAAGTAGCTGGGATTACAGGTATGAGCCACTATACCTGAACTGAGAGAGATTATTATAAAAAACTTCTATAGGACTCTAAATTACTTATACCTGCTCCTGGGTACATTCAGTGGAACACTGTTGTGTTGCAGTTGCTAGCCGAGGAGAAGAACATCTCTTCCAAATACGCAGATGAGAGGGACCGAGCTGAGGCTGAAGCCAGGGAAAAGGAAACCAAGGCCTTGTCCCTGGCCCGGGCCCTCGAGGAGGCCCTGGAAGCCAAGGAGGAACTGGAGAGGACCAACAAAATGCTCAAAGCCGAGATGGAAGACCTGGTCAGCTCCAAGGACGACGTGGGCAAGAATGTAAGTGGCTCATGATGCGCTCTGCTCGTCCCCATGTCACCATCCAGCCTCAGCGTGGTGTATCAGCCTGAGGGGCTAGCTCTGTGCCTCCTTTACACTGAGCAACCATTAGGACCAAGTGGCAGGTCCCCAGCCTGACACAGAGACGGGAGGCTGGGAACAGCTGCTAGGACTCAGGTCTCTGGTTGTGCATCCTGCAAGAAAGGGGCCACAGCCATCTCTCTGACTGCTGTTCCTTGGGAGTCACACCTTGCTTTAGTAAAAACCCTGCCTGCAGGTGCACGAGCTGGAGAAATCCAAGCGCGCCCTGGAGACGCAGATGGAGGAGATGAAGACGCAGCTGGAAGAGCTGGAGGACGAACTGCAGGCAACAGAAGATGCCAAACTTCGGCTGGAGGTCAACATGCAGGCCCTCAAGGGCCAGTTCGAGCGGGATCTCCAGGCCCGGGATGAGCAGAACGAGGAGAAGAGAAGGCAGCTGCAGCGACAGGTGAGCCCATCAGGGAGGCCTGCACATTCTTGCCACCACCCCTTACCAGGTCCAAGGAGAGGATTTTCTCCTGTCAACCTGGGGGAGAAACCTCTGCACCGGTGGCTGTGAGCACCTTGGGGCTCAAGGAGTGACCAGCCTCCAAGGGGCACCCCCGCAGCACGTGCCTCTCTCCCTTGCTCAGCTGCACGAGTACGAGACAGAACTGGAGGATGAGCGAAAGCAGCGTGCCCTGGCAGTGGCAGCCAAGAAGAAGCTTGAGGGGGACCTGAAGGACCTGGAGCTTCAGGCCGACTCGGCCATCAAGGGGAGGGAAGAGGCCATCAAACAGCTGAGAAAACTGCAGGTGGGTGACAGCTCCCAACCCAGGTAAGTCTGCACACCAGGTTCCAGGCCTAGCTCACCTAGGTCAGCTGGTGATTTTCTACCCACTTAGCTGTGGGCGTCATTGTCAGGCACTGGCCGCTGCCCTCGTGGCTTCTTAGGCTAGCTGAGGCCACCTGGTCATATGAGGCTGAGGTTAAGGCCACACATCAGGGACTTCTCTGTGGTTAGTTGCAGAAGATCCAAGGGGCTGGCACAGAGATGTCCCCTCTGCAGAGCCAGGCTGAATAAGGACATCATGGCTTATTCTTTGTTGCCCCACTCAGGCTCAGATGAAGGACTTCCAGAGAGAGCTGGAAGACGCTCGTGCCTCCAGAGAGGAGATCTTTGCTACAGCCAAAGAGAATGAGAAGAAAGCCAAGAGCCTGGAGGCAGACCTCATGCAACTCCAGGAGGTAGCGCCTTCCTCTCACTGTGACAGCCCTGGTTCCCCAGGCCTGGGCACCCATGGATTTTCTTCCCTAAAGAATGGGCCCCCACAGGGAAAGCAAAAGAAGACACACAGTTCTCTTCTCTGATGTATCTGTGAGGCCTCCCCGAGCTCAGGGCAAAAACCTGTATCCCAAGGTGGCTCTACAGACTGTGGGGCCAGGTGACAGGAGGAGGGTGGCTTCTCAGTGGGACTCAGCCTGTCCCTGGCAGCCAGCGCTCTCCTCCCTGGTGCAGGACCTCGCAGCAGCTGAGAGGGCTCGCAAGCAAGCTGACCTGGAGAAGGAGGAGCTGGCAGAGGAGCTGGCCAGCAGCCTGTCAGGAAGGTAAGGGCTCGGATGCCACGACCACACTACTGCTGATTGAGCACTTATCTGAGCCTCCATAGAGGACAGATTTAATCTACATGTGGTGATGGAAGGTTTTCTCCATGGAGTTCTTCCATGTCCCATTTTGGGGGTGTGGCCAGTGTCATTCATTCTGAATGAGTGAGTGGTGGCGCCTAGAGAGAGGAGCTGGTCCCACGGTGTCCTGGCTTTGCTGAATGGGCCTATGCGAGCCCTGACTTCCTTGCTTCCTAGCAGAGTGACCTTGGCTAAGATGTCTCATCTCCATCTCAGTTTCCACAGTTACAGAATGAGAGCCACACAAGTGAGGCACAGCCTTTCCAGGGAGAGGGCATTTCCTAAGCCAGGGTGGGACTGCAGGACCCAAGGTGGCTGTGTTCCCTCCCACTCCCCCAGGAACGCACTGCAGGACGAGAAGCGCCGCCTGGAGGCTCGGATCGCCCAGCTGGAGGAGGAGTTGGAGGAGGAGCAGGGCAACATGGAGGCCATGAGTGACCGAGTCCGCAAGGCCACCCAGCAGGTGGGCGATGCTGAGCTCAAGGCGATTCCAGAGGGAGGGGAAGCTCCTCCAGGGTCAGGTGCACCAGCCCAGATGGCTCCAGGAAGCAGGGCTGCCCTGCTACTGGTCCCTGATTGGCAGGTGGTCTTCCATCCCATTTAGGTGCCTGCACAGGGCACGTCACAGCACAAGAGGGCTGCAGTGGGGCACGACCTCCCATCCCAGGCCCTGGCCCCCATACTGGAGGGGTCCTTTGTCTCGAATCGCTCCTGTAACAGGGTTCAAGTTCAAAATCTAGCCTGGTTTAATAGCATGGATCAAAAGCCTGCTGTGTGCCAGGGAGAAGGGAGTGAGACTTGAAACTAGGGACCCAGGGCTCGTCTCCCTCCTCTTCCAATTGCACCATACCCAAGCCACAGCTGCTTTCTTCAGAACACTGAGCGCCAGCCCGAAGGGGCTTCTTCGCTGGCCAGTGCACACCTGGTTCCCTTCCCTAGATGATGCAGCCTTGGAGGAGGGCCCTGGCCTTCTCCACTTCTTTTTCCCTAAGCCCTAGCCTTGTAACTGAGTCCTCAGTGACTCTGCCAAGTGAGAACATTTTCTAAAGCTGGGTGTAATGGTGCACACCTGTAATCCCATCTACAAGGGACATGGAGGCAGGAGGATTACAAGTTCAAGGCTAGCCTAAGTAGGGAGGTCCTGCTTCAGAATCAATGGCTCATGCAGCACTTACCTAGCAAGGGTGAAGTCCTAGATTTACCGAGCATTCATTGTGACACATGCTCAGGGACCATCATGTGAGCTGAAGCCACCTGTCTAGGGTAGAGACTATGGGACTGAGCAGAGGATGGGGAGGGAAGTGCACCAAGAATCTTGGCTCAGCCTGGGTGGCACAGGATGTTTTTGGAAGAGCTGGCTCCTGAGCTGAGTCTTAGTGTGCTGGAAGTTGGCTGGAGAGGGAGGAGGGGGAGATGGCAGGAGAAGGTCTGTAGCTCAATGCCCACCCTGATTCCTGTGCTCTCTGCCTCATGTCCCACGTCCCCTTCTTCAGGCTGAGCAGCTCAGCAATGAGCTGGCCACGGAGCGCAGCACAGCCCAGAAGAACGAGAGCGCAAGGCAGCAGCTGGAGCGCCAGAACAAGGAGCTCCGAAGCAAGCTGCAGGAGATGGAGGGGACGGTCAAGTCCAAGTTCAAGTCCACTATTGCAGCACTGGAGGCCAAGATCGCACAGCTGGAAGAACAGGTCGACCAGGAGGCCAGGTATCGGGTTTGATCCCCAGCACTGGGAAAAAAAATCCATCAGTGTACGACAGAATCCTTGAAATCTGATGGGCAGTGTGTGCTGTGACTATGCCTTAGTTGACCCCTAATTAAGAAGGGAAGCCTTCCTGTATCGGGGCAGGATCTCCCTGCAGACAGAGGTTACAGAAAGCTCCATCTGCTCCTGGCATGGCAGCTGAGGTCAGAAGCACCATCGAGGTCCCTCAGTGCTTGCCATAGGCCAGGCCCAGCAGTGGGTCCCACTGAGCCCCTTCTTCATGAGTCAGAACTGATGCTTGGAGCGTTCTCCATACCCCACGCTTTGCACCTGCTAGGCAAGTGTTTTACCACTGAGCTACATTCTTCAGACCACAGCAGCTTTACTGATAACTCACTTTGCAGTGAGTGGTGGTGCAAACCTGTGGTCTTAGCTGCTCCATAGGTGATCTGAAAAAACTAGAAGCAAAAGGATGGGGATGTGGCTCAAGTGGTAGAATTGCTTACCTAGCAAGCACAAGTCCCCACTCCCCAGTGTATGATCAGCGGCTTCTAACTTATTTGCAGACATGTAAACCAATCACCACACTCAATTTTAGAATGTTTTCATGATCTCAAAAATAAATGCTCTTTAGTTATCGCTCCACCCATCTTCCCATCGACCCCAGCTCTATGCGACCACTAACCTTCTTCCTGTCTCGATGGATGGTCTGTTCTGGAAACTTATAAATGGAAACATGTGATGTATCCTGGCTTCCTTCTCTTAGTGAGATGCTTCCCAGGTTCACTCATATTGTAGCACGCCTTGGTACCTCATTCCTTTTTAAGGTCACAGTATTCTACTTGCTCTGGCTGATCCTTGGGGATGAGTCCTGATTTGGGGGCTGGGGAAAAGGGTGGGCTCATGAAGGGCAAAACGATGAATCTGTTACCCCATCTGAAGCCACCTCTCTTTCCTCACCGTGCACAGAGAGAAACAGGCAGCCACCAAGACGCTGAAGCAGAAGGACAAGAAGCTGAAGGAGGTCCTGCTGCAGGTGGAGGATGAGCGCAAGATGGCAGAGCAGTACAAGGAGCAGGTAGCCAGGCAGCCTGGCCTCTCACAACCCCTCAGACCTCTCCCAGCCCCTCGGCCCCCGCACACCCTTCCTGACCCTCTGCCTTGCCCTTGACAGGCAGAGAAAGGCAATGCCAAGGTCAAGCAACTCAAGAGGCAGCTGGAGGAGGCAGAGGAAGAGTCCCAGCGCATCAATGCCAACCGTCGGAAGCTGCAGCGGGAGCTGGATGAGGCCACCGAGAGCAATGAGGCCATGGGCCGCGAGGTGAACGCACTCAAGAGCAAGCTCAGGTAAGGGCTGCAGCCTGCGGGAGCGGACGTGGGGCTCCATGCATCGCTGCAAGTGAGCCCTGTCCCTGAGGCCCTTGCTGCCTTCCTGTCTTTGTCATCGGCTGAGTACTTACTACTGTGGCCTGGGGAGCTCACCTTCTGTCTCCTGTAACTCCTGGGGAGCAGGAAGAGGCACCACATCGACAGCTACCCATCCTCCCCCTCCTGAGCATCTCTGTACCTTCTTACTCAGCTCTTGTCCTTAGCACCATGAGCGTTTTGGGCTGGATCGTTCTTGGCTGTGGCCCGTCCTGTGTGTGGTAGTGTTTCTGACCTACCCTTTGAAGCAGTGGCATCACCCATCTGGCATTGGGACAGCCTTAAATGTCTCAAGGTTGCCAGATGTTCTCTGGGCCTGCAGTCACCTCTGTTGAGGACCCCTGCCCTCACTTTTCTCTCTGACAAGCTCAGAGCTGTTTCCACCTCCATGATCATCTCTCCCACGCACTCCCTGAAGGGTTTAGCTTCCGGCTTCCTGCCTTTCCCCTGCTACTTGTTCTCTGTGATTCCTCTCTATTCCTTGACCCTCTCTGTGGTCTCATCACTTCCTCAGGCCTGATAACTAGCTCTAGGCCCTCCTGATTGCCCCAGAGCATCTTCCATCTGTAGCCAACCCCTGTCTCTGGGGCCTTTACCCCACTGTTCTCCTTTCACAGCCCAGCTTAAAGTTTGCCTCTTCCATGTTGGACTCAGCCAAGCTAAACCCAATTTTCCACCTTCTGCCTGGCCACAGTGCAAGGGACAACCAGACCAACCCCCCACACCGTGAGAGCTCCATCCACTGCCCAGTGGGCTGGCTTGCCCCTGGAGCTCACCCTGTGCCCTCCCTCATCTTCTCTCTCTCCTCTGATAACCTCACTTCCCCTTTAACTAAAAACCAGAAGCGATCATGATATGATGTACACCAGCTCTTTGACATCTGTGCTCATGGTCCGTGCTGAGCTGCCCTCCCCTGCCATATCAAGGCCTCTTATTTGCTCCAGCCAGCACTTCAGGGCCCTGCCTCACTTCCTGCAGCATTTTCTTCTCATTGAGTTATTCCATTGGCTACAACAAGCTTAGTCCCACTTCCCTGCTAGGGAACCTCTCAACTCCAGGAGGAAAGGTGCAGGTGGCCCTGCTCACTCCCTGAGGTGCTCCCCATTCAGCAGCAGCTGGTGTGACAGATGCAGCCTGTCCCTCCTCTTGCTTGGTACACTTTCTTCTCTGGGCCTCCCTCACCTGGCTGCCCTCCCACCTTCCTAGCTATCTCTCTCCATGTCGAAACCTGCCCACCATTGGACAACCCTGGGCACCATCTTGGTTCCCCTTCATCTCTCTCTCTCTACTTACTTCCTCAGTGATCTCAACCAGTCTTGTGGCTCTAGAATTCCATCTTCAGCTAATGACTTTGTATCTCCAGTTCAAAATCTTCCCAGGACTCTATTCCCACTTGACCTTCCCACTCAGGTGTCCACAGGCCCCACTGACACCCAAAGCAAGCACTTGGCCCCCATGCTGTGTCTTCTGATGGCCCTCCCCAGCTCAGGAACTGGACTGATGAGCCTGCCATGTACTCAGACTGCAAACCTTGCGGTCATTCTTTAGTTTTTCTCTCCCTTAAGAACACTGTGTACTGAGAATCTAAGTACTTCTTGCCACCATTGAGATCACCCCCCATTGAGATCACTTTGCCAGCCTCTCTGGGAGCCTCCTGTTCCATGCTGGTCCTTTAGTCTGTTCTCAGCACAGCAGCCAAAGCAAAGTCTTTGTAATGCTTGATGCCTTTTGGCACTATGAGATCCACGGCCTCAGGGCCTTTGCACGGACTGTCCCTTCTACTCGGAAAGCTCTTCCCCTACTCTCTGCAGAGCTGTCTCCCTTTTTTACAGATCTTACCTAAGGTGACCCTTCCAGTCTAAAATTTCCACCCTCACTTCCTACGCTCCTCCTCCTTCCTTACTTAATTGTCTCTGAGTCCCTGCCACCCATTTTATTATGGTCTGTCTCCCTCTCTGCTCCATGAGCCCAGAGGGTTTTGTCTGTTCATCTCTAAGGTCTAGGATGGCACTAGGCATAAAGGGGACCTTCAGTTACTGAATCCTAAGGATGTACCACCAACTTCAGACATTCTGTCATTTGTCTTAGTCTGTTACCACCTGCCTTATCATTGCTTAATGTTTTCTTTGAAATTAACTATTTTCATCATATAGTCATTTGTTTGCAAATAAAACTTACTGTATGTACATGTCAGTGGTACTGGGGAGTGAACTCAGGCTTGGCACTTGCTTATGTAAGCACTCTGTCACCTGAGTCACACCCCCAATTCTTTTGCTTTTAGTTTGCTTTTCATACAGGGTTATAAACTTTTGCCTTGCAGCCTTGGACCTTGGTCCTCCTACTTCTACCTCCCAAGTAGCTGGGACCATGGGTGGCACCACCACATCAGACTCGTTTTTGAGATAGGATCTTACTAACTTTGGCCAGGCTGACCTCAGACTGCGAACCTCCTATCTTGGCCTCCTGAGTAGCTGGGATTACAGGAGTGTACCACTGTATTTAAAACCAGCATTGTCTGTATCAATAGGTCACAACAAAATTGAGTCCTAAGGCCCTAAATTGAGGACAATGACTCAAAGACCTACTTTGTGGTTAAAAGGGAGTGAAACACACATCAGCACCAGACAGTCTCTAACATCATCAAACATATTTCAGCAGCACATTGAAAAGAGAATGCCTTTCTTACAATGCAGTTCATCACTGGAGAGTGTGCTCAGCAGCCACTCGAAATTGTCTGGAGTAGATTGTAGACTTTGGGGACCACACATAGGACAAGGGGAGAGGCCAAACCCCTTTGAGAAGGGGAAGAGGGTAGCTGCTTTAGGGTACCGAGGCTCTGAGAAATAGCCTCTAAGATGAGGGGCTATAGGTCCCCACTTGATAGACCAGAAACCAGACCAAGGTCTCAGGTACAGCTGGGGTCTGAGAGCAGCTCCAGCAGGGAGGAGGGGTGTAAGCAGAGGAGAGCTGTTCTCCCACAAGAAACCCCCTTCCCCCACATTCTTGGCTGGGAATGGGACACTCTGCCCCTCCTGAGTACTGGGCTGAGTAGCGGAAGCAGCCTCCCAATGTCCTGCCCTGTGCAGGTCCAGTTCCTTTCTCAGGCTCAGTGGTTCTTTTAGCCCACACTGAATACCCACCCTGGGTTCTGCTCAGGTGCCTGACCCTTCTGAGGCAGCCAGGGCAGAACAAACCATTTTTGCCTGAGCCAGTCTAGAAACACACTGTGTGGGCTGAAGACATGCCAAACCTCTCCTGCCCTCTCTGAGTCATCTAACTGCACAAGAACATAAAAACAGGCACTAGAGCTGGTGTGCGGTCAGCTCCTCCATGACCAAGAACTTGCAAGCACAGCTACTGGCCAGATAAAAGTCCATGCAAGCCCTCTCCAAGCCTGACCTTGGACTACTACTTGCTATGCTGCCAGGCAGCTCCTACACGAGCTGCAAAACCCACCTCTGGTAGAGGCAAAGGTAAACAGAAGAAGCAGAAGCCATGTGGGAGGTGGCCATGACTCCTTGACCAGTGTGGCTCAGCCCAGCCGTGCCAGCACTGCTCTTGCAGACTGGCTTACGTACCTTTCTGCCTTTTCTGGTCACAACGCAGAGATGGGGTCTATGCAAGGGTCTCCGAGGCTCTGAGGGACAGAAATCTGGGGTGCCGGCCTCTGCCTAGGGCTCTCTGGGCTTTAGGTGCTTGGTTGCGAGGTTGATGTAAAAATACCTTTTGTTGCTTAAGTAGACGCAAATGCCTTTTTAGAAATGTACTTAACATACTTAAGCACATAGCCAGGCTCCTTCCTGTTTGCCAATGGTAACGACCAGGGACTCTCTCTCTGTTTCAGAGGGCCCCCCACACAGGAAACTTCGCAGTGACCCACCAGGTATCGCCCCTCCAGCTTCGCAGCTCCTGTGTGTCGCGCTGTACCCGTTTCCTTTCTGCCCAGTGCCTCCCCACCTCTCTTTTTCAGTCCTTGCAAATTTCTGGGAGATGCCAGCAAAATCTGAAGGCTGCGGTATCTAGTTCAAAATTTGTCTTTTACAAAAACCAAGATGAACTTGAGAAGCAGATGTCAGCTCTTGAGTCGTGTTCCTTTTCTCCTGGGCAGTGCTTTGGCAGACCACCACAGGGCCTGATCACCTGCCTCAATGAGATTTGTAGACTGTGCATGTGTTGCTTGGATTTTTCCTACCTGTGTGCTGAGGCCACTCTTGTGCTACTAAGGACATTCCCTCAGCAGTGCCACCCTCCTGGGATAAGACACCTACAGGTTAAGTCACCTCCTGAGTAAACATGACAGTCCCACACTGTGTGTACACTCCTGGAGAATGGATGTGGCTTCTGTCTGGCTGTTCTGGATCACAAATCTGGTCTCACAAAACACATTCATGGTGACCGTGGCCCAGCAACTTGGCCCGTCACAAGTAAGCTTCCCGTCTGCCTTGGAGCAGAAGCCAGGGCTGCGCGTGGCTTGAGCTGACTATGTTTTCTGTGCACATGGGTGGGAAACAGCCACTGCGAAGCCCGGCTCGGCCTGCTAGAGCCTTCTCCAGAGGCCTCACGGAGTCACGCGTGTCCAGGGGGTGAGGAATGGATGCCCAAGACTTGAGGAAGCACATGGGCCCTTCTTAGAGAGTACAGAGGCCCCTGCTTCTCTGGAATTTAAGAACTTTGTTTGCACAGTAAAGTTAGAAAATGGGAGCTTCTCTTACCCCACCAAGAGGCCAAACAAGCCCTAGCTTGTGTCCATCTGTCCTGGAGAATTTCAGCTTTGCCTTTGCTACCAAATACTTAAAGCCGAGTCAGGTCTTGCTAAGAGCTTCCCTGTGGGTTCCATGGGTAGGGGAGGGCACAGGAGCCTCCAAGACATTCGGTGGCTCTCCTGCCAACTCAGAGGATGAGTTGCTTATAGAGCCAGCTGGACTCAGCAGTTAGCAGGAAACTGAGTCCTTGCAAAGCAGCAGGGACGTCCCCACTAGCACAGACACCTGGTCTGCCCACAGTGGCTAGGTAAGCTCTTTGATCCATGAAAAAATCCAAATTCTCCAGGATCAGACCCTTTAAGGAAACCTTTGTAGGAATCCCTTACTTCCTGTAACAGAGGTAGTCGGGGTCAATCTTTGGTTAGGATTTAAATCCAGGTCCTTCAAGAAAGGCACGAGAGCCAGAACCCACTGCCTTGCAGTGGTCACCCAGCAGAGTTTACCATGATCCTAGGCAGAATCTACTTCTGAGGTCAAGGGACAATTTCATCCCTTAACCAGTTGGCAAGTACAGATCGTTCCAAGAGGCAAAGAGTGTTACTGGAGGCTTAAAGCACAATTAGCTTTCACCCTTTCCTGCCCCAGGCTAACCTACCTGGCTCAGACCTGGGGGGAGAAGTACGAGGAGGGCCACATGAAACATTGCATGGAACTTCTCGACCCTTCTCTCTGACTCATAGTGCCGAGGAGCTGGGGAACAACTTCCCTCCTGGGAGAGAAGCTTAGACCTTTCCCTCTGAGGCTGGCCTTGGGGTGGGGGGATCCTTACATGGTGTGTGGCTACAACTTTAAGTATTTACTCCTGATCGCTGTACCTCGGGAAGCCCCACACTTAGACTGCAATAGTGTTGGGTTGGGGTTCCCCTTCTCAGTGATCTGGAATCTCTGGGCTTTGCTTATGCTTCTGGTCTTACCTGAGTTGTGGCCTTTGGACTAAAGAATAGGTCACTAGGTAGGCTCACCCTCACAGCTTCTCTGTCCAGCCTTCACGTGGCGAGCAAGTTGCTTTGTCACCCTGAGTCAGTTTTCTTAGGTGTCCTAAAATGAGCTAAGACATGTTCTCTGATTCAGGTGAAACAGAGCCTGATGGCAGGAATCTAACAGGATCATATTTGTGATCACTAAAATTCTACTTAAGCATTTCTATCAAACAGCAAAGGTTAATGGCAGGTGGATCTGACCTTTTGTCCTTTGTGCTACCTCTCCCTCCCACCCAAGGCTGGTCACAGACCAGCCTGTGAAGTCATGGTGGGCCTGGATTGCTAGGAGGGACATGCAGGGGCCCTGAGAAGAGACAGAAATGGAGAGCAGAGAGGGGTGTCCTACCTGTTGGAGCTAAAATCCACCTGGAACTGTATAATTAACAAATATACATTGAGCGCCTATTTTATGTCATGCAAAAAGCGGTGCATCCATGGGGAGCCAGAACACATTCCCTCCAGCCACAGTCCCTACCACTGGGGCGCTCCTACTAGGATGCTCTACACCAGCAGGGGGCGCTATCTCCCTCTTAACCAGTGAGCACCCTTCTGTGTCAGTGACCTCACTCCCTCTCCATTGCCCTTGGTGTCCATTTTCAAAACTGGAAACCTAAAACCTTACCCATTTTGCCTTCTGAAGATGGAGAACACGGCGGGTTCTCCCTCTTCACATCCCACCATCTTCTATTCCAAATCCCAGAATGTAGCAGACCAGAAGCCAGACAGTTTTTAAAGCAGATAACTCCTCCATTCCAGCTGATTAAATGTAGCCAACCACACCTTAAGGGCAGTCAGGATTTGTTACCTTGAACTTGAATGGTTGAGACTCATCTGTGTTGTTTGGTCTCTGCCCCTTGGAGAGAGATTTCTTTACTAAAGACACACGTTTTCTGATTAAAACCCACAGGCGAGGAAACGAGACCTCATTCGTTCCCTCCAGAAGGTCTGGAGGACGCAGAGTTATTGAAAATGCAGACGGTTCTGAAGAGGAAACGGACACTCGAGACTCAGACTTCAACGGAACCAAGTCCAGTGAATAAACTCACTAGAGGTTTGCACCACAGCAGGGAAAATGACCCAAACTACAAACCAAACCCAGAAGACTCTGTTTAGCATTGTCTCAATCCATTGTCAAACTGCAGGCATCATCGGCACCCCTCACAATGACTATAAAAGCTCCACCCTGCAGTCAGGGTGTGAATTTCACTTAGGATGTACTTATCAGAGGAGAAAACCCCACTGGGAGACACAGCAAATCCTCAAGCTGTCAGACTGTGCACAAGTGGTGAGTTTTTAGGAAAACAGCTGCAATAACCAGTCATAGATAACTTCGTTTACATGAAACGGGGAGAAAGTTACCAAGTGGGTGCCTACGCCCCCCCAAACTCATTCCCTTCCCTGAAGACCCCTCCAGTTCTCGAGGCAGACCCTTGTTAGAGAATCCTCTTCCCTCCTTCTGGCTACCACACCTCAGACACACACAGTTCACAGAGACCAAGTGCCTTCTGTAGTCACATGAATATCCCCCAGGGATATGAGCAGAGGTATGACACTGTTTTATATGCACCCTGATTGTACTTGCAGACACTTTCACTAATAAAAGGTTATAAATCACCAGAACGTAGTCAGCATTTCTGTCAAGCTGTTTTCTACAGAACCAAGGTGAAATAAGTTGCCTAAGATCCTGTGGCTGGCAAAAGAAGAGGTAGTGGGCTGGGAGGTGGGTGGGTATAGATGGGAGGTAGGGCACTTGCCTAGCATGTGTGAGGCCTTGGGTTCAAGGCCCAGTACCACTCACACACAAAAAAAAGAAAATTAAAAATAGGGGCAGAGATGCAAAGTGTGACTATCTGAAGGGCTTCTCCAACCTACCATGTGGCCAGTTAAGGGACTGAGAAGGAAGGTACTGTGTGGTGGGTGGGGCACTTGCTGTGATCTTGAACGTGATCTGGGAGACCATTTTGTCGATCAAAACCCCAAAAGTTCAAACACTCTAAAACCCAGCCTTTTTGAACACAAGTGGAAAATCCACACCTGACCTCAAATGATATATCATAGTCAAAACACAGGTGCATTAAAAATATTGTATAAATGACCATCGGGCTCTGTATATAATAAATTTTCTGAGTTTTGTGTTTAGACTTGCGCCCATTCCCAAAGTATCTCATTCCATATATGCAAATAGTTCAACATCCAAAAAAAACCCAAATCTGAAGGACTTCTAGTGCTAAGAATTGTGGATACAGCAGCCTTAACTTGGGAGGCTGAGACAGATCATAAATTCAAGGTCATCTGGGCTACATAGCAAGACCTAGTCTTAACTTCCACATGCCCCTCCCCCCACCCCCAAAGAAGTCATTCTGAATGTGAGGGCACTGTAAGAACAAGCTGAGAGCCCTTTTCTTCCCCAGCATGAATACTGTGGACAGACCTGCCTTGCGAAGTTTCTATTTAGCACAAGCCATCGCCCAGGCCAGTTCAGCAGGACAAACAGACAAATGAAACTGAAAAGACACAACCATTCCACCAAATGCCAATAGGTCTGCAACGATGCACGAACTTTTCCCAAAAACAATTCTAAAAGCTGACTTGAATAGATACTTGTAAAAACCCTTTTCTCCTATTTTGTGAGTTGGCAAAAAAATAAAAGCTAAGTTTTTCACCACCCCACAAGCAATTGTGAAGTACAGATATATAAAGCAGCACCCACTGAGCACACCGTGAACCAGCTGACAGGAGCTTCTCTTGATTTTATTGTTCTTTTAAAAAAATAAAAGTCCATCTTTTACCAACACAGGTTAGAATGTTTTGGGACACAAACAGCTCCGAGCTGAGTTCTCACTGAACGTCTGTAGCACTTGAAAAGTTCTATGCTCAGCTCCATGGCAGGTTTGCAGTTTCTACCAGAAAATAACCAGGAAGAAGGCGAGGGCTGTCAGGCTGCGCACACACTCCTGCAAGATCTGCTCCTTACACCAGGGTCCCAGAGCGTGAGGTGGCAACTCTAACATGCACTGGTGGCCAGCAGGCGCATCCAGTGTCAGTGTCTTCCTTTCCAACAACGATCTGTGTTTTCACCTTGTCGGAGGCCACCCTGGTTATTCCATGCTGGCTTTGAGTGGAGTCCTGTCCTTAGGGGCTACATGACCACTCTACTCACCCCCCACCACCCCACCAGGGCAAGGAACTCAGGACAACTAAGGGTTGGCATTTGTAAGGACACACTTCCTGCTGACCTGAGAATTACTCTGAAAGTTAAACATTCCTCTAAAAACCTCCACGAGAGGCAGATTAAAAAAATCTCAGAGGTACAGTTAATAAAAGGACCCCACCTCTCCCACGACCCACTCCTAGACATGATTTTAGCATATGGGGAGGCACCAGGAGAGCTTGTTCTGGAAGACAGCTCCCACTGGAAGGGTTGAGGGTTCCTCCGGGATGGGCCCAGAGCCCCTCTGCAGGAGGCTTGCACATTAAAAGCAGCTCCCTGGGCCGTCGGGACTCGGGGAGCCAATGATGGGTAGACTTACTACCCACGCCCTGAGCCTTCCCGAGTGGGGGGACCATGTCATCACATACATGCAGGTGGGAAAGGTAGGGACAACACCAGGGCCTCAGTCATTGGCTTGGGCCACAGAGCACAAAGTGCTGCTGGCTCTTATTTCTCAAACTAACTGGAAAAAACCCAAAAGCTGAGAGGAAAGGGGAGAAGGAGGGTAACAATGCTGCACAGACAGAGGGGGCTCAGGCTCCTGTAGGGTCCTAAAGCAACAGCTTGACCACACCCTGAGCAGGCGGCAGCGCCGATGATGATGACAACGATGATGAGGAAGGATGTGAGGGTGGCTTCCCGAATTCCAGGCGTTTGCCCAACCTTCAGACAGAGCAAACCACATTTAGCTGATAGGACAGTGGTGACAAACCGGCTAGCACTGGGGCCCACAGGGTCCTAACAGTGAGTGTCAAGAGGCGGGAGCAGGGTCTCACAGGGCCTCAATTTTCTCTCCTGTGAAATGAAGAAAAGGACACTGGCTATCTGGCTTTCTGATTCCCAAGGCTGCACAAAAAGTCCTGCCTCAGAAGACCCCCAAAAGCACCCACTTACTTGTCATTATATTTTGGATGTGTGTGTGCTGGAAATAGAACCCAGTGCCTTGTGTCCAATGAACTATGATCCAAGCCTCCTGAATTAAAAACATTTTTCAAATATAAAAACTCTGCTTCCAGAGGTGCAGAAGTTAAGTGCGCACCATGGCAAATGATTCTTAGTTTCCTGGTATGCACAGATCCACCATGTTTACAAGGCTAGGCTCCATCCAGGGAGTCGCTACCTGCTCTTAGGGAGTTCATGAGTTTAAAGTTGGTCCTGGTTTTCTTTAGCAAGGAAATAAATGACACTATTAAGAGGTCAGCTCTGTGGCAGAAGTAATGGGTAAGAAAAAAAAAAAAAGAGCTCAGATCTGTAGATTGTTTCCCAATCAGGTGGCTGGTTTCAGGAATCTAGTCTGGCTAGCATTTAGTTAGTCCCTATAGTTTCTAGAATGTTCTACAGATTTAAAAATAAAGACTTTTTCTGGAGGAAACAAGAGTAGTATTTGAAGCTTAACTCCAAACAAGCGATTTAGACAGGACATTCTCACAGCATGACCCTAGTGGGGCTGCAGAATCAAATTATAAACACAGCCCTCTGCTTGGCTGTTTGCCTAAACCAGAAGATGTCATCTAATTCTACCTCAAGAGAAAGGAGTATTTGAGGCTGGCCTGGTCTATACAAAAATCATTTAAAAAACTTAAAAAGTAAAACTAATAAAAGACTTAAAAAGAGAGAGAAGGAAGTAGAGGCTAAGGTTTGCTAAAATAATCTTATAACTTTATGAAACAAATGGCGATGGATGGGGTGTTAGTGTCTGACCTGGAGCAGACAGATGCTCCCTGACTAAAAGCACATCAAAGGTACTGACCCTTTGTCACCCAAAGGTACACTGGTGCCACTTGGCCGTCTGTCACCACTTTCTCTGTTCTTGCTCCCTCGCCCTGAGGCTGGGCCACTTGTCCGATTTGGTGATTGATCATACACGAAGTTCCGGCAGGATGCGAGTTTGGATTCCAGGGCCTGGAGAGAAAGGATAACCTAAACCAAGGCTCTCAAAGTGCTGCCAGGCCCAGGAGGCCCCAGAGGAAGCCAGCCTGTCTCTGACTCTCGGAGCCACTCGCCCGCAATATCTGGGAGCTGTCCTGTAAAACCACTAACTCTACCTAGTGACCAGTTCTGCCTAAGGAAATGTAAGATCAACTTCTGGAACAGTTCACGCTTTTGTTTACCCTGTGAGAGTGGCAGGAGGTTTAGACAAGGACTTGAACTTGGAGTAAACGGACTGAGGAAACCAGAGGCAGTGAGACCACCCTGGGCTTCTCTGTAACTGCAACTGATGCTAAAGAGACCTGCTTATGCAACAGCAAACCAGAGAGCCAGAAGCCCGAACATAAGGACTGAGTTGCAAGCTTCTATTGCGCTGTATTTATGAAGACACATTTCTCCTGTTCAGGGACAGGTTGGCAGCATGGAAATGAGGTGGCCTCCCAGGCATTGTGTGTAAGAATAAAAGACCCAACTACAAAGAATACCTCTGTCATTGCTTAAGCACAAAAGAATCCCTTCCTGTAATTTATATAAAACCTGGAAGGTCAAGTTCTTTGCTCTGCTTCATTCTCCCAAATGCTGGGATTACAGATGTGATCCATGACACCCCACAGAAAGCCATTTTTAAATGGCCATTGGTTTTTTGAAATTAAAGCCACAGATGCCATCTTATTATCCAAACTGCTTGGAAGAAAAGTGGTTCGAGAAGAAAAGATGCTTGGGGATGAGAAGGAAGACTGATTCTGCACCCTGGGCCTTCGGCAACAGCAGTGATGCTTAAGGACTAGCCAGGTCTAACACTCAGGACATCCCCACTAAAGTGGGGCCCTGGAAGACAAACCTCTCAAGAACCCTGAAAGATAGGCAAGAAAGCACGGGAAACCCTGGGGAGGTGCTGCCTTACCCCTACTTTCCTCAGCAGGTCCCCCACAATGTTGAGGGCTGAAATCCGGGCTGCAGGTGTGAGTGGAGTCCCACTGTTCGAGTTGTCCAGACCTGAGTGAGCAAGGAGAAGCACACATCACACCTATCAACAGTCTCTGTACTGACAGCTCTGAATGACAAGCCCCAGGGATGGGAGGGAAGGTGACATTTTCCTGTGATTCCGAATGCAGCCCGACTCATTCAGAAGTCATCTGGGTCACCCAAGTGTGCTGGATGACCATCACTTTGAGTCCTTGGCAGGATTAAACATTTGTTTTTCACATTCATCTTTTTTGTTGGCAGTACTGGGGTTTGAACTCAGGGTTTAACACTTGCCAGGCAGGCGCTCTACCACGTGAGCCACGCCTCCAGCCCTTTTTGCTCTGGTCATCTGGGAGATAGGGTCTTACTTTTTGCCCAGGCTGGCCTGGACCTTGACTCTATTTTGTGCTCTCCACAGCAGCTGGGATGACAGGTGTATATCACCACATCAGCTTTTTTTCCACTGAGATGGAGTCTCATGAACTTGTTTTTGCCTGAACTGGCCTAAAACCACCATTCTCCCAATCTCAGCCTTCACATAGCTTGAAGCCACAGCACCTGGCCTTTTTTTTTTTTTTTTTTTTTTTGGTAGTACTGGGGACTGAACATAGGACCTCATGCTTGCTAGGCAGGTGCTCTACCATTTGAGCCACACCCCCTTTTATTTGTTTCTTTTGGGCCTTTTTGAGACAGGGTCTCACTAAGTAGCTGTGGCTGGTCTTGAACTCCTGATCCTCCTGCCTGCCACCTCTGAAGTGCTGGCATTACAGAAGTGTTCTACCACAACCGGCTCTACAGAGCCCCTCCCCTCCAGGTGGGGTCTGTGGTTCAGCAGCAGCTGGGAGCTTGGTAGAAACACACAATCTCAAGCCCTACCCAGACTGGCTGGATCCAAGGTGCACGTGAACAAGATTTTAACTCATCCCAGGAGAGTCGTGTGCATACGATAGTGTGGAAAAGTGCTCTCAACTGGATGCTAGAAACCTCCCACCTCTTCATCTGGGCCAAGCTGAGGGCTGAGGCTTATGACAGAAGAAGCCAGCCAGCCTGGGGTCAGTCTCAAGTCTGCCATTTACTTGCTGTGACTTCAGGGAAGCACCTTAACTCAGCCTCAGACTCCACGCCCATCAAGAGGGACCAGAGCTTGTATGGTGAGCCTGCAGGGAGAATTCTGTGAGGTCACACATGCAAAGTGCTTTAAACAGGATGGGCAGCACACACTGAGAGCTCACCGATTGTCTGTTATTAGCAGCAAAGGCGCTGGGGGAAAATGCAGATTTCTGTGTTTAGTCACACAGCACAGAACTGGTCCAGTTCTGGATGGATGTGGGATACACAGAGAGAGAGAGAGAGAGAGACAGGGTCTCACTATGCAGCCCAAGCTAGCCTCAAACTTGAGGTCTTCTCAACTCAGCCTCCTAAGTGCTGGGATTATAGACAAACATCATCAGGCTCACCAAACAAAGCTTTTTTAAATTTGGTTATTGATATTTTAAATTTGGGAGATTCTGTATTTAAGAAGATGACTTCTGGCTTCTGCTGAAGAATGGAAGAGTCTGCTGTGCTGACCCTGCATCCTTATGTCAGGAGCAGAGTGGCAGCTGCCCACTCTAGACGGGGCTTCTGTTTGCCAGACTCCACTCCTCCACACTGCCTCACACCCAGGAGCCTCCTTTCATTTCTTGCAATGCTCTGTTGTGCTAAGTACCCCAGACTGCTCGCTGCTGCACAGCCTGGCCAAGTCATCTCACCCAGGACACACTCCAGTTCTCACTGGGGAAAACTTTGTGAAGCAAAGATTATCTGGCCGACTCCCCAGCCCCTTACCACGTCTGAACATCCCCGGTGTGTTTAAACCAGAGCCAGGTCCCCGAGGAGCTACGGGAGTGGACGGCACAGAGCCAGTGGCCTGCACAGCTGTGTCTGTCCTTTCAGCTTCCACTGAGCTGGGTATGGGTGTCCGGGGCTTTTCTTGCTTCTGCTGCACTGCCAATTCTTGCCGCAAATCTGTGTCGGGAAAAGGACCAAGAAATTTCAGTCCTTTGAGGATGGGGGTGGGGAGAGCCAAAAGTAGACAATGCTCAGGGAAAAGAGCCACCAGGTGAAAAACTCTAGGTCAAAACAAACCCTGAATGGAGCGAAATCCCCACTCAACCCTGCCTAGTTGGTGCACATAACTACATGCACCAACTTTTAAGGGAAAAACAAAAATGCCTCAGAATTTTTAAAAATGAAGGTAGCAACATATTGCTTTTGTTGTTTAAAAATTTTCAACATAGCAATACATGTATATAGACTCCTAATGAAAGCAATGTGTTCACTATAACACACGGCCTGTCTTTTTAACCCTTTTCCTCTTCTTCTCCATACTGTCCACACGTACATGAACATCACACATAAAGAATGAGTAACTTGGGGCTGGCGGAGTGGTTCAAGCGGCAGAGCGCCTGCTTAGCAAGCATGAGGCCCTGAGTTCAAATCCCACTGCTGACAACAAAAAAAAAAAGAACGGGTAACTTGGATTGAGCACAGAGGAAACACAAACACCTCCCACCCACCTGACTTGTTTAACGTTCCAAAAACTAAATTTATATGATCTGTTTGATCACATCACTACCAAAATTTAGGGACATCTACAGGTTGCATAACCCTTATCTGAAATGCTCAGGACCCGAAATGCTTTGGGTTTCAGAGTTTTCCAGATTTTGGAATACAGACTATCAGTTAAGCATTCCTAATCTGAAATCCAAAATGCTCCAAAATCTAAAACTTTTTCAACTTGGCAGTTTTGTTTTGTTTAAAATCCCCTAGTTATTGCTTACAACTTAGAAACCAAACTAATGCTACAAACAATGAATTAGGACCTAAAACAAGCCTCGAATGCTTCTGACTCTGATGCCTCACATCCGAGTGATGTGATGGTTTGACAGCTCTACCTGGAGAATCACCCACCTCCAGAGCCTGCTGACAAGGCTTCAGAGCTCTCAGTCAAATGTACTGGTCACCATCAAGTCACCAGAAGAACAACTGGTGAACAGTCCTGCCCATGGGATTTCCTCTCCACAAAACTCTCGTGTTCCCACTGAGCATCAGCTGGCTGGGCACAGGTGGAGACCAGAGGTCAGGAGGCCTTCCTGACACGAATCTGCTGCCCAGAGGCAAACCCCCAAAAAACAAGGGCTTCATCTGTGAACCCCAAAGATTTTTCTGTAAATGCAAAGAGGGGTTGGTTGCTACAGCTATTTCTATAAATGCTAATGATGGCTGACAATTTTGAGCACTGGGCTGAGTAAGGCAGACTGTCTCTGCCAGGTCAGCCTGTGTGCAGAAAGGGGGCAGACACCTAGGAAGGCAGTGCTGGGCAAGGCCGCAGGACGAGATGTTGGCAGGGAGGGAGAAAGGGAGAGAGGGGGACCACACTGGGGAAGACACAGACAAGGCCAAGACTCCTGACCTCTGGCTTCATCCTTTAGCCTCTGGACAGATTCTAGGAGATTCTCCTTCTCATCGAGTTCACTCTCCAGGAAGGCGTTTCTTTCAATAGCTTGATTCAAGCGCTGCTCAAAGTCTTCTAGAGACATGATTGTGGCTCTGGGCAAGAGAAAAGTAAAGTTATCCAAGAGAGCAATGGTGGCATCCACCCAGTGCCTACAGAACCAGGTGACCTGAGGTTGGATAGCCTGGGCCCAAGTCCCAGCACTGGTTTTCCTAGATGGCCTAGAAGGCCTGAGCAAGTCCCTTAGCCCACGGGGATCCAGGCTCTTCATCTTTTCATCTGCAGAATGGGACTTGTCAGTGCTCAGGCTGTCCTCAGCAGTAGACCCAATAATGTTGAGTTCAAATCCCAGTACCACCAAAAAAAGAGAAAAGGCATGGAGAAGTGCTGTAATAAATCAATCTGAAAGCTGTTTAACTCTGGGCTGACTACTCTCTCTGTGCCTGTTTCCTCATATGTAAAAAGGGTAGTAAGGTTGGTGGGAATACAAAAAGCACACCATGAATGTTTCATAGTAAGCGCTCAGGAGGTTCAGACACAGTTTACTAATACCCTGTGTTCGCCTCTGGAAGGTATTTAGCATGCTGCGTTACAGTTGTAGTTTCCCAATGGCTGGAAGCATGTCTAGAAGGGAACCCAGAGTTAACACCCAGCTCCTCCCTTGCTCCCAACTGCAAAGTTGGGTTCATACATTTAACATACCCTACGGCATCTATATTGAGTCACGAAAGTACCAACCCTCAAGGGGTCTTTAGAAGAAGTAAACAGGGTGTCACCAAAGATGCCTGATTCAAAACAACAAAGTGATAATGCTGCAGAGGCTAAAGCCAGAATCACTTAAAATGACCCCAAGGCTGGTGTGCCAAATGACAATGAAAAAGATAAGGTGTAGGAATTCACACAACAGCAAAGCTGCAAGAGACTCAAAATGCTGTGGGAGTCAGATATGCTGTGCTGATGAGGTGGAAGACCCAGGGTCATCAGAAACCAACGTGGATGCCTAATGCACTGAGGCCAATGGGAGAGGGGACAGGAACTAGAGAAAAGGTGAGATCAAGAAGAATTAACCTAGAAGGTAACACCCACGCACAGGAAATTAATGTGAGTCAATGCCCTGTATAGCTATCCTTATCTCAACCAGCAAAAACCCTTGTTCCTTCCTATTATTGCTTATATTCTCTCTATAACAAAATTAGAGATAAGGGCAGAATAGTTTCTGCTGGGTAGCGAGGGGTGGCGGGGAGAGGGAGGGGGCAGGGTGGTTAAGGGAGGGGGCGGGGGGAAGAGGGGAGAAATGACGCAAACATTGTATGCACATATGAATTAAAAAAAAAAAGAAGTCAATTCTCCATCAATTAATGATGAATCTGTCACCATCTTAACGGCCTCAGGGAAATAACACTGGCAGGTATAGTGCACACAACTGCAGAGTCACAGTGGTGAACACAGGCCTGAGATCGGTTAGAAGGATGGCCAGAGAAGGGAAACTGAGGTACAGAAATAGAGGCAAATACATGTAGTAATTTAACTTATGGTAAGGGTGGCATCACAAATTACTGGGGAAAAGGTGACAGGTTCAATTCTAGCTTTGGGGACCATCGGGAACCCACCAAGAAAAAGTAATATTGGAGTTGGGTACCAGTGGCTCACACCTGTTATCATAGCTACTTGGAAGGCTCACAGTGAGTGAGACTGGAAGGCTCACAGTTCAAGGCCAGCCTGGGCAAATAGTTCCCAAGACCCCCCCATCTCCAAAATAATCAGAACAAAACAGACTGGCTCAAATGGTAGCAATCCTACTTTACAAGTGGGAAGGGTTGAGTTCAAACCCCAGTCCTACAAAAAAAAAAAAGTAATACTGGATTCATACATCATAATGTACCCCAAGATAAATTCCAATGGGATCAGAAATTTTAACTCAGTATTTGTTCCAAATGTACTGGCTGGCTGTGGAATGCCAGAGTTAAAAAGACCCAGGGTTGATAAATAGTCATGTGACCATATATAATCAGTTTCAATAATATTGGCAGAGTGTCCTTCAGACTTCCCGAACATTTGCCTTCAAATAAAGGTCAACATCCTATCTGCAACCTAAGTGAAAATCCTTCATGTGCTTTACGTGTTAAATTCTGTCAACTGACGCACAGGCGTATCTTTGTTGTGAGAGGAAAATGGCATGACAATTAAAGGCTGTGAAAGCTGTTCATCTCATGCACAGTTACCAAGAACTTGAAAACAGTTAAATAGAGAAGTCACTTTTCAGTAAGTGTGACTTAGGAGATACATTTGTTAGATAAAATGCATGGATGATAAGATTAGATTAAGTCAAATTTAATCTCCGAAAGACTTTAGGAATCTTAGCACTCATACACAAAACAAAACAATGTCTTTCATTTTCAGTTACTTCTACTGAGGCCCTGAGTCTCCCAAGGTCCCCTCCTCAGTGACAACTGTGTCATGTAGTTTACAGGGGCACAGTATAAAGATGGCAAGAGCTAACACCACAGCTTGTGAGACTGGGAAATTGTTCTGTCACATTTCCCAAATGTGACTATTGAAATTTTATAATAAAAATCTTAATATGTTAAAAAATTTTAATACAAGTTTGGTATTCTTTGAAGATTATTCATTTTGTAATGGTAATGTGGGCCTCTGCCTCATTTGATTTTAACACTCACCTATTCAGTATTTGGCCAAAATATGAGTCAAATGCAGAGAGAGAGAGAGAGAGAGAGAGAGAGAGAGAGAGAAAGAGAGAAGCAGAGAGGAGGGAGGAAGGGAGGGAAGGGGGAAGGATGAAGAGAAAGGAAAAGTAAAGCAAAAATACCAGAAGAAAACAGACTAAGTGCTTTATAATCGCTGGAGTCCAAAGTGCTCTTCGTAACGATGGCTGACTAATAAACTTGACCACACAAAAATCAACAACATACGCACAATTAAGCATACAACAGATGAAGTCAAAGGAATGACATATTCCAAATACATCCAACTCGTATCACAAACATCTAAATGAAAAACAAAAACAAGAAAAAAACCAACCAACCAACCAATTTAAAAGAAGACAAGGAGTGTGCTGGGGATGTAGCTCAGGCTATAGCACTTGTCCGGGATGCACAAGGCTCTGCATTTGATCCCAGTATCACCAGAAAAAGGCAAAGATATAAGAGTATTCATAAATACCTCAAGGTCACTTAGAATTCAGAAATGCATCCATTTCTCACCCACTTGATTGGCAAAAATCCTAAGTTTGAAAAGATAACAGAGACTATTCATAAATACCTCAAGGTCACTTAGAATTCAGAAATGCATCCATTTCTCACCCACTTGATTGGCAAAAATCCTAAGCTTGAAAACCACTATGTTAGTGAAGCAATTTGGAAACCATGACTCATGTACAGGCATCTGGGAGTGTAAGCAGAACCACACTGAGAGCAATCGAGCAACGCCACCAAAATCACACATGCCCATAAGCTTCCACCCAACAGCTCCCTGCTGGGAATTTATCATGAGATACACACCCATGCCAGGCTGTTCACACAACACTGCTTATAATCCCAAAGGAGTGTGGGAGGGCGACAGGCCATAGGGGAATGGGTAAGTTATAATGGTACCCTACAATACCTATTAAGTATGTGTTTTCGGAAAAAAAAGAACAAGGAACGCTCTGTGTCCTCGGAACAATCTCCAAGATCTATTGTTATGTGAACAAGCACGATGTACATCAGTGTGTACAGAATGCTCTTTGTGAGGGAAAGGGAGGAGGGGATCACAAGAATGCCTATTTTAATTTGCTTGAGTTGCATTTTAACAAATTCACCCCTTTGTATGTTGTTTTTGACCAGCGTGGACGCATTCCCTTCTTGTAGGACACTTCATTGCTGGCCCACTTCCCTGTATCCACCCCTTGCCTTGGCTTACTGTGGGTGGAATATACCTTCCCACCCACTGACTCAGCATGACCATGTGACTAGCTCTGATCAACAATATATGGGTGGAAATGACAGAAGTCAGAATGTGGCTTTATATCCACAAAGCCACAGCAATCAAGTCATTACGGAATTGGTACAGTAACTCACAAACTGGACATTGGGCCAAATAGAGAACCCAGAATTAGATCCCAGGATATACAAGAGACTGACATATGACAGACCTGACTTCCACGCAGTGGGGAAAAGGCAGAAGGCTTAACAACCAGTGCTGGCAAAACTGGCTATCAACCTAAAGAAAAGAAAATTGAACCTGTACCTTACCCTAGACACAAAAATAAGTGTAAAAAAAATTAAAGGAAAAAAATCGTGCAGTTGGGCGTAGCGGCACGCTCCTGTGATCCCAGGATCGCATCAAGGCCAGCCTGGGCTACATAGTGACACCCTGGCTCAAAATAATTAGAAAAGAAAGTTGCAAAAAGAGAAAGAGCACACAAAATATCAAGGCGATCCCCTAAATGCAGAAGCTGTGACAGGAGACATAACTGATAACCTAAAAATGGAAAAAATTTGCATAAAAACTAGCATAGACCAAATCAATAGGAAAAATTATTCTGATCAAAGTATTTTCAATGCAGGCAAAAGATTAGTAGCACAAAGGACTCTTAGGAATTGACAAGAAAGAAGGTTCCATTTCCGACAATCTGTATCAGGCCAAACCTCCCATAGATTACAACTAAACACTCTGGATAAAATGTGGGTAAAAAAAAGCCGGGTGCTGGTGGCTCAGTCCTGTAATCCTAGTTAGTTGGGAGGCTGAGATCAGACAAAAAAGAGGTTCTAGAGCATCCTGGGGAATAGTTCGAGAGATCCCATGTTCAAAATAACCAGAGCAAAGTGAACTAGAGGTGTGGCCCAAGCAGTAGAGTACCTACTTTGCAAATGTGAGGGCCCTGATGTCAAACCCCAGTCCCACCTAAAAGAAAAAACAAAACAAAACAAAAAAAAACTGTCTGAAGGCACCGGCAGAAACTGGAAGGCAGTCAACACAGGAAGAACAGAAAGGTACTGGTGATAAGCTTTTTACCTAAGGCTCTGTGATAAAAATCCAGCACCATGGAATGGTGCACACAGCAGGCCCAAAGCAGTCCATTAAGGGTAAAAGAACCAAAACAACAGATTTCAGCTCCTGCCTCACATAGGGGTGATAGTTTGGAGTGTGAATTCAGCCAAGTTAACAGCTTGAAAAAACAAATCAAACAAAAACCCAACAATATAACAAAATTCACATTAACCACAACATCCAGAATATAACCCAAAATGACTGAACTTGTGAAACCATAGGAGAGAAAAGGCAATCACTGGAAACCAACCCTGACTTAAACCTCACGCTGGAAACAGGAGAAAAGATTGGGCTTTTTTTGTTGTTGCTTTGGAGATTAGAAACACAGTCAGTCTCCCTATGTAGCTCTGGCTGGCCTCCAACTCTCCATCCTCCTTGTCTTTACCTCCCAAGTACTGGGATTATAGATGTGTACCACCACACTAGGCTAAGAAGAGAATTTTAAAACAGCTATTACAGCACAAAGCACTGAGTTCAAACCCAAGTACTGAAAAAAAAAAAAAGCTAACATAGTATGCTCAAGGATTTAAAGAAATCTCAGAGAATTAGAAATGATAAAAGAACTGAATGGAAATTTTGGGTCTGATAATACAATATACATAAAATCAAACATTACTTGACATGGCTCAACAGCAGACTAGAGGAGGGGAGAATTCTGTGACCTGAAACTAGACAAGAGATTTAGAAAACAAAGAAAAAAAGAGCAGGGCCCAAGGACCTGTGTGACAAGGTCAAAGGGACACGTGTACAGTGGTGTCCCAGGACAGGAAAGAAAGAATGAACAGAAAGAAATATTTGGAGGAAAGAGTGACTGAAGTTAAATTTAGCAAACCCCTATCACGGTAAGTACAAATGAAAGCACATCTAGACTGCCATAGTCAAGAATGGAGAGAATCTATCAGCTCCCAGAGAAAACAACATTTTACATACAGAGAAGTCACAATTCCAAGCACCAACTTTCCATCAGTAACCAGGAGAGCAGAAAACAGTGGGGCATCATCTCTAAAATGCTCAAAGGAAAACAAGAACAAAATGTGTCAATCCAGAGTTCCACATCCAATGAAAATATCCTTCAAGAATAAAGGCAAAAGCCGTGAGGCACCCATAGCTCACACCTGTAATACTAGTTACTCAAGAAGCAGAGATCAGGAGGATCGTGGTTTGAAGCCAGCCCCAGGCAAACAGTTCAAGGGACCCTATCTAAATCACAAAAAAGGGATGGTGGAGTAAGCATGAGGCCCTGAGTTCAAACCCCAGTGCTGCAAAAAAAAAAACCCCAACAAAACAAAACAAAAATCACATGAAGAAAAGAAGTGCCTGACATCCTTGGTCATAAAGGAAATGCAAATCAAAGACTCCATCTCACTCCTATTTGAATAGCTACCATCAATAACACAAACAACAACAAACACTGGTGAGGACATGGGGAAAAAGAACCCTCAAGTACTGCTGGTGGGAGTGTAAATTAGTACAACCACCACAGAAAACAGTTTGGAGGCTCCTCAGAAAAACTAAAAATAGATCTGCCATTTGATCCAGCAATACCATTCCTAGGGATATACCTGAAGAAATGTGAGTCAGGTTACAACAAAGGCACCTGCACATCCACGCACCTACCTGCAGCACTGTTCACAATAGCTAAGTTATGGAAAGAGCCAAGATGCCCCGCTACTGATGAATGAATTAAGAAAATGTGATACACACACACACACACACACACACACACACACAGAGGAATATTATTCAGCCATAAAGAAGAATGAAACTTCATCATTCACAGATAAATGGATGGAACCAGAGAATATCAAGTTAGGTGAAGTAAGCTGGGCTCAGAACAAATGGTTCTCTCTCATATGTGGAAGATACATCCAAATACAAACAGTATCATATACACATATATACGCACAGCACGTCTCCAAAAGCAAGACTGTTAGAGGAGACCACGAGAGGAGAAAAGGAATGATAGAGAGCGATTACTACTGAAACGCATCACTTCTGTGTAGGAACAATACTCAGTGAAACGCATTGAACACTTGAACAACGCAGGGTAGGGAGAAAGGCTAAGGAAGAGTAATAAAGGGGATTTGATTGAGTAAAGTACAATATACTTACAGGTAAAATACCAAGGCAAAACCACTCTGAACAACGAACAGACACTTAAGCAATGAAGGACCAGATGAAGACTAGGTCATTCATGTTTTTGTTGTTGCTGTTGTGCTGGGTGGGGATACATTGTGGCATTTAGAAAAATTCTTACTTGAATTCACTTTCTCCACCATTCTGCTTCATCCCCCTATTCCTGGAACAGTTTCAACAGGTCTCACTTTGCCATTTGCACACACGTGTACACAGCATTTGCACATATTCACCCTCCTACACCCTTTCCCCACATCCTCCCCCTTCCCAGTGGTGCCCCCCACCCCAGGCAGGACCTGTTCTGTCCTCCTGTTCTCAGACTTTGTATAAGAAAAGGAGGAGGGGGAGGAGAAGGGGGAGGGGGAGGGGGAGGGGGAGGGGAGGAGAAGAAGAAGAAGAAGAAGAAGAAGAAGAAGAAGAAGAAGAAATCGCCGGGTTTTTTTTGTTGTTTAAGATAGATATACAGGGAGTTTCCTTGCGGCACTTCCATGTTTGTATGCATTATAGTCGGATTTGTAGACCAGGTCATGTTAAGGGGAGAGGAATAGTGGGAGGGGGAGGGTAAACGAAGAGGGTAAAGGAAGGTGACTATGGTTGAAGTGCTGTCTACACATGTATGAATATGGAACACTGAAACCTGCTGAAGTCATTTCAAGAAGGGGAGTGGGGGAAGAAGAATAATGGAGGGGATGGACTAACTGAGGTACAATGTTTGTACACATGGAAATGTCACAACAAAACCCTCTGCACAACTATCATATACTAATAAAACATTAAAAAAGAAAAATTGAAGGCAAGTCAGGTGTGGTGATACACACCCGGGGAGTCTGAGACAGGAAAATCGAGAGTTCAAGGCCAGCCTAGACTACATAGCAAAACACAATCCCAAAAAAACAAAAAATAAAGAGAATAATAATAATAATAATGATAATAAAAGCCCAAAAGAATGAATGCAAAATAAAGACACTTTTAGGTAAACAAAAACTAGGAGAATTTACCGCCAGCAGACCTATGCTTCAGGAAACACTACGTGCAGTTTCTCAAGCAGGAGAGTGTGTTACCAGGTGGAATGGCAATATGTGGAAAATACACAAGGGCCATCACTTGATGCAAATTTCTTCAAAGTCCATATGACCTTCAAACAATGTAGAGTGACTGACTTACATCTGTGACTGTAACAGATCTCACAGCTGGAGCAGCAAGTGGAAGGGTGGCAAATGAAAGTCAAAGCTCAAAGTTGCTACATTTTGTAGGAAGTAATACAGTATCAACTAAAAAACTGAAAAACTACTGCATTCCCTAAAGCAACCACTGAAAAACTAACAAAAGGAACTTTGGGAGCCTTGGAAATGTACCATAGCTTAGGAGTGTGGACTACATAAGTGTGGCCATTTGTCGAAACTGATAGCAGTGTAGCTGGGCTCTGGCGGCTCATGCCTGTAATCCTAGCTACTTAGGAGGCAGAGACCAGGAAGAACACGGTTTAAATCCACCCCAGGCAAACAGTTTGCAAGACCCTATCTTGAAAAATACCATCACAAAAAGGTGCAGGTCCTGAGTTCACAACCCCAGTACTACACACACACACATACACACACACACACACACACAAAGTGATAGAAGTGTACACTTAAGATGTGTGCATGTCATTACGTCATTGATATAAATTCTGTTTTTTAAATTATACCTATTTATGGGGTACAGAACATAAATTGTAGGGTTGGCTCAAGTGGTAGAATGTCTGCCTAGCAAGTACAAGGCCCTAAGTTCAAACCCCAGTACCACCAAAATAAATAAGTATTAAAAAAATATATAAAATTTTAAAAATTGTTTTTTTAAAAAAGTGCCAGCACATTCTGTAATTATATAGTAATAATATATAAGGATAATGATTCTCCTAAACTATAGAACATCAGTTTAGGAAATATCATTCAATGAACATATTCATTATTTTGTCCTTCTTTCTGGAATGTTCTTGCCTTCCCTGACAATCTCCCACCAGTGTCCAAATTAATTATCCTATGATCTTCCCCTTCCCTCCACCCCTCCTCACCCCATGACCCTGAACTCTGAGCACTTCCTTCTTGCTACGTTGAGGTTGCTATAATTTGCCCACTGTCCTTCTCCCCAGGAGACAGAGATCCTTGCTGCTGAGTTCTCTGCAGCACAGGGCCTGGTGGCTCACAATGTCGAGGACAGCAAGATGGAAGTCTCCCAAAGCTGGCAGCTGCCTTCTCCCCAGCCACGCACGTACCGTTTGGCTCTCTCCAGGTCATCGTTGGCTTGCTCCAGCTCCCTGATGTACTTCTGCAGCTGGTCTTTAATTGCTTTCGTCTGCGCCAGGTCATCCTCCAGGGCCGAGATCTGCCGGTAGCCTTCAGAGTGCTGCATTTCAAACTTCTCCTGAAGAGAAAAGCGACGAGGATGAATGACTTAAGACTTTGCTATACTGTGGTTAAGTGGCAGACATCTGTTGTTCTTAGCCATTAAGCATCCATTCCTCCTGGAGGAATGGAGGACATGGAGGCATGTCCTGACCATCTCTCCCAAACATGTCCTCAGTGTGTCCTGCCTCCTGGTGCCCAGCACCTGCAATCCTACCCACTCCCAAACCTGGTCCCTATAGCCCCCAACAATCTTCAAAGAAATGTCAGGTGTCCAGAGCCAAAGAAAGTTGCACCCACCTCCCCAAGCCTCATTTGCAAGTCAGCACAGACCTGCTTCACACACTCACTGTATTAGAGTGTCAGGGATGACTTGATCACTTGTGCCTTGATTTAGGAGGACATCAGGTATTTAGGTTTCAAATGTCATAAATTTTGATCAAGACACTCTCCTGTAGAACTTTTGGGTGAGTAGGGGAGGGAAGGGAAAAACAACTTATTAATTACCAAAGGAAGCTCAGTGTGACTGCTAGTGCCTCCAAGAGCAGGGACTAGTCCTGCTCAAAGATCAGTTAGTGCCTCTGCGGCAGACATCCACTACATACTACTACTGTGTGGCCTTGGGGCTCGTACATATGTTGTCTCATCTAATCCCATCTGAGGTGGGAACTGAGGCTCAGTTACTCAACTAATCCAAAGTCAACTGGTAGTAACGACTGAGCCAAGGTCAAATTCAGGCCATTTGAGCTGATGCTCTTAAAACCATGATGCCAGTGGCTCATGCCTGTAATCCTAGCTATTCAGGAGGCAGAGATCAGGAGGATCAAGTTTCAAAGCCAGCCCGGGCAAATAGTTCCACAAGACCTTATCTTGAAAAACCCTTCACAAAAAAGGGCTGGTGGAGTGGCTCAAGGTGTTGGCCCTGAGGTCAAGCCCCAGTACCCTAAAACACACACACACACACACACACACACACACACACAAAACATGATGCTGAATGGCCCTAAACCATTTCAGTGAAAGTCACCCAGGTATAAATCTCTCTCTCTCTCTCTCCAACCCCTCGCTGCTCTCCCTCCTCCCTCCTGTTTTTGCTCCTCTTTCAAATTCCTTTCCTTCATCAAACACTCTTCCCAGATTCTGGAAACACAACATGAAAGAAAACATACCCCATAAGAAAGGCCTAAGATCTAATTTGAAAGTTAAAAACAAAGGCAAGTTCCTCTTTTAGACTCAAGGAGTAAACAGAGCTGTTGCTAGAAACAGTCCGGATGTGCCAAGTGCCAGGAGATGATGTCATGGTGCCTGGAGCCAGAGGGGTGTGGCGAGGGCCCGTGAAAGAAGAATGGCCAAAGAACAGCAGATGACTCATGGTGGGGACAGGGAGGGACTTCCACATCCTCCTGCTCTTGAGCCCCTCTGATGCTCCCGTTTCCTGGTGGGAGCAGACAGCAAGCGTGGGCACTCAAGGAGAGGCAGCCCAGGTTCCACGCACGCATGCATGCACGCACGCACACACACAAGGGCCAGTGCCCAGGTATGGCTCTGACTGCCTCACACCCTTTATTTAGAGGCATATCCAAGTGAAACAGGATTCTAAGTCATTAACTTTGATTACAAGAGGATGGGAGAACCGGATCCTTTGCCTGTAGACACATTTCAGATGGTCTGCTCTGAACTTGTCACGTGAAAAGCTGGTGCTGCCACATTGCACTTTCATTTGGGGCTGATTACAGTAAGTTGTCAGCTGATGCGGGCATCAATAGATGCTCTGTCTGACCCCTGCGGGCTTCTGTATTCAAGGAGAGATGAATAAGCCAGTTGTCAAACAGCTCGCCTCACGTGGCATCTCTCATTGACTGACAAGAATTTACTGGTGATGGCATTCTTTCCCCAAGGTGTATTTCTTCCCTTCGTCTCTGCCCCAAATCACTTGCATCTGTCACGCAGTTGTGACAGAGAGGTCTTCTGCAGGCTCAAAGGCTCTGTCTAGAAACACTAAATAAATGACTGAGTGAGCTAGATGGACAGGGACAAATATATGTGGAGTAAGAGGCAAATGTGGGCAGCAGTATAGCAGCACCTAGGTGGTGGGTATGCAGGTATCTACTGGAAAAGTCTTTCAACTTGCTATGTGCTTGGAACCTTTCATGATAAAATGTTGAGTAAAAATCAGTAAGGCACAGCAAACATGTGTGATCCACACAAATGTGTATCTGGCTGGCTTGGCTTGCCTGGTGCCCAGTGGCTCACGCCTATAATCCTAGCTCCTCAGGAGACAGAGAGCAGAAAGACCAAATTTCAAAGTCGGCCTGGGCAAATAGTTCATGACACCCTATCTCAAAAATACCCAACACACAAAAAAAAGGGCTGGCAGAGTGACTCAAGTGGCAGAGCATGAGGTCCTGAGTTCAAACCTCTGTACCACAAAAAAAAAAAAAAAAAGCTAGAACTTCCTAGCTCAGCTGCCAAGTCTTGGGGGCCTTTCTTTTCCCCCTTCTCAAATTCCCAGTAACGACTGCTTTCCTACATACACTACTAAGGCCAGGCTTAGCAGCGACACTCATTCTTGTCCTTGTCTGGGACAGGTTTAGGCCAACTCTGTCACCTCCATTCCCTAAGCAGCAAGGTACTGGATGCACACACATAGACCTTCCACCACCAGCTAGCAAAGTGCTCAGCTCCTCGTGAGGCCATCTCCAGCCTGCACAGCTTCCTCCTTAGGGTTATCTCGGGTCAGAGCCTTGGAAATAGGACATTATGTCCCTAACTGACTTGGGATGTTAGGTCCATCTTCTCATGTAGCTTCCACAGGGCAAGGTGCACATCTTTCACACCTAGCCCTGGGCACACAGTGTAGGGCCTGGCTCCTTCCCCCAGTAACTCATCAAGATTTATATACGGAGATTTGAAAAGAGAGACTGCTGATGGTGACTCAAGCCTGTAATCCTAGCTACTTGGGAAGTGGTGGGATTTTGGTTCCAGGCTAGCCTAGCCAAAAAATTCACAAGACCCCATCTCTACCAATGGTTGGGCATGGTGGTACATGCCTGTCATCCCCAGCTGCAGCAGGAAACACAAAGAAGAGGACTGTGGACCAGGCTGAACCAGGCATAAAATGAGACCCTATCTCAAAATTAACCAACACAAAAAGGGCTGGCAGAGTGGCTCAAGTTGTAGTGTGCCTGCCTAGCAAGCCCAAGACCCTGAGTTCACTCCCTCTACTGCTCAAAAAAATAAATTAAAATAGAGAGAGGGAGAGAGGGAGAGAGAGGGAGAAAGAGAGAAACAAATGTGCAGATGTGCCAGGCCCCTGTCCTGGAAATGGACATCTGTGCTCAGGTCTGTCTGATGCTGAGATTGGAAGCTGGCTTGGTGGTCCTCACTGGCAGCAGGGCTGAGCATCAGACCCTGGGGCGCAGCGTGTGCTCAATAGCCATCTGCCAAGTCCTAGAGAATGTACGATAGGCACGGTCTCCACCCTCTGGAGCAGTGTTCTCCAGACACCCGGCCATGTCTAGAGATGATTTTGGCTGTCACAACCCTGTGGGTGGAGAGAGGCTACTGGCACCCAGCAGATAGAGGCCAGGAATGCTGCTCAACATCTCACAATGCAAAGCTCAGCCTCTCCTGACAGAGAGTGCTCCAGCCTTTCGTGCCAGTAGGCAGTTCCCCTTATCTGTGGGGTCACATTCTAAGACATTCCACTGTGCTTCCAATTTTAGATAGTCCCAAACCCTATATATACTATCTCTTATCTACATAGACCTGAGATAAAGTTGATTTATAAATGTTAAGAAGTTAACAACACTAATAAAATACAACAATTATAAGAATACACCTAGCCGGGCGCTGTGGCTAACACTTGTAATCCTAGCTACTTAGGAGGCAGAGATCAGGAGAATTGCAGTTCAAAGTCAGCCCGGGCAAATAGTTCTCGAGACCCTATCTCAAAAAACCCATCACAAAAAAGGGCTGATGGAGTGGCCCAAGGTGAAGGTCCTGAATTCAAGTCCCAGTACTGAAAAAAAAAAAAAAAAGAATACACCTTAATAAAAAGTCATTTAAAATTTCTGAATTGTTTTTGCATGGAATTTTCCATTTAATGTTTTTGGATTTCCACAGACAACAGGTGCCTCAAGCCACTGAAAATGTGAAGATGCCACCGTAGTGTCCAGTAGCTTCTGGACAGGTACTGTCCAACAGAGCAAGTGTTCTGTAACAATTCTACAGACACACAGTCCCCATGGTACCTGTGCATCAGTGACACCCCGAGCCCCATGTGGCTTCAGAGCACGTGAAATATGGCTAGTGTGATGGAGGAACTGAACGTCTTTTTCACTAACTTATATTTCAACAGTCACACACAGCTAGGAGCTAGCACAGTGGACCCTGCAATATACCAATCGGTGATCCTAGTGACACGCCAACCTGTGAAAAGGTCTCCCTGCCATGTGCCCTGTGAAATCAGCACGGCCCACCCAGTAACAAGAGCCGTGAGTGAGACTTGCTTCTCACCATGCCCCACCACAGGGCAGGAAAAGGGCAATGGCCACACCCACCCCCAGCCCTGCAGACAGGAGCGGCCGGAACTATCCCCCACCCTGCAGAGCTGCCTCCCCCACTCACGCAGGCCTCCTTGCTGCAAGCCTGTCCACACCCGCAGACACTCTGGAGCCTCACCTTGACAGTCTCCAGCTCCAAGCGAAGGCGGTTATTTTCTGACAGGAGGTCTCGGTTCCTGGTTTCCATCTGGTGCAGCTGCGTCTCCAATTCAGCTTCATATTCTCGGCTTCCCTCCTGGAATTCTCGGAGTTCCTCCTGAGTATTCTCTGCCCTGCAGCAGGATTCCCAAACACCAGATCATTTATTGAGCACTTACTGTGTGCTGGGCACTGTGGCCCATTTCTGTGCACCTACCACCATTCTCATTTGATAAGTGAGGAGATGTCACACAAAAGGACAGGAACAGAACTTGAACCTAACTCAAAATGCCTGACTATACAGCTCTTTCTTTTTGTTTTAAGTGATAAAAACATAAATAAAAATTTTAATTATTATTTTTGTCCTGGGGGTCAAAGCCCTATCTTAACCAATTCACTATGTGCATATTCATTCAACCTATGTCTTGGAGCCCAACCTGTAGGAAATATATAAGATTTTATAGCCTAAACAGCCTTATTCATAAGTATATCTCCAGAAACTGACTGTACAATGTTAGTTTATCACATCACTAGGCTGTCTCCAGTCCATCCTAAACATCCATGTCAAACTAAGTCTGAATTATCAAACTAGATTAAAGAAACTAGATTAAAGAGACTAGAGGGGGCCAGGCATGGCAGTACACACCTGTAATCCCAGCACTTGAGAGACTGAGGAAGAAGGAGCTCAAGGCCAGGCTGGGATATATAGCAAGACTCTGTCTCAAAAGCAAAGAAAAAGAAACAAAACTAGAGGGACTGTCACGTGGAGGTGCTAAGACTCCATGGGAAGAACGCTGACTCCAACACATACACACACACCGCACGCTCAGACATGGCAGTGGAACACCGGCCCAGGTTTTAAAGTCTGCAGCAGCCTATTTTGTGAGACATAGGGAAAAGTTCTTTCTCCACAACAGAAGATCTGACCAGATCCAGCAATGGGTAAAACCCAATCAGAACACAGAATGGAAAGCGGCATCATGGAATAGTCACAGGCCTAGGGCTAGAGTGTAAATTCCAGCTCTGTTCCTCACAGTTTGGACAGGTTGTGTCCCCAGCTGCAGAACTCAGGGACAGTTCTACAGTGCACATAGCTGGCATGCAAGAATAGCTGTGGCTGTTCTCACAGGAGGAGGTAGTAAGTGCTGCTTCCAAGACTGACCTCTGCTTGTAGGTCATCGCCAGGTCCTTCCAGTAGTTTGCTTCTTCCTCCTCAGAGCTGAAAGTCCTTCCAGGGTCCTCCATTGTGAAGGGAAGAGAGCTCACTCTTCTTGTGGCATGGTGTCTACCACAGAAGGTTTGAAAATTGTTACAAACACCTGAGTAAACAGCTGATCTTCAACAGAAAAAAAAAAAAAATCCCTGAACTCTATCCTGGATTAACTGATAAAATGCTGCCCCAAACCTAAGCTTAACCCAGACAGAAGACAGCCCAGCACTGGCTACATTCCACGGCTTAGTATCCAGGCTTATTATGTGTATCATGCCATAGATATTTATTGAGGAGCCACAGTCGGATCTAAGGATGCAAGAAGATGGGCCCCAGGTCCCTATTTGCCCTCTGGGGCCTATGGAAGGAGGATGTAAATGGAGTGTAAACTACAGTAACAGGAGCATGCACAGGCTGCCAATGTACAATATGCAATGTTACATATATTTATTAACAGACACGTATTTGGTGTGTTTGGACATAGGTATGCACCCGAGAAACCACCACCCTTAAGAAGCATTTCTGCAGTGCCTGGGACATTAGGGTGCCCCAAACTCAACCTGAGAACCAAGGAGTGCTTCCTGGGAGGGGTGTGCACCAGCAACATGTGAAAGTGCAGGAAAGCAAACAATGGGGGAGAAAGAGGACACTAAAGACAGGGAAGGGGAGAAATGATCAGGTTTGGGGAGCTCGGGAAGTCTGAGATGTTGAAAGTTGAGGACAGAAGGGGAAGCTGGGCACATTAAAATAGAGGGGCTAAATGACAGAAGGCTTTTCTGACATGTTAAAAAAAACTTGGTGGCAAACTGGTGTGGTAGTGCACATCTGTAATCCCAGCACTCCAGAGAATGAGGCAGGAGGATCACCAGTTTGAAGCTGGCCTGAATGACATAACCAGACTGTCTCAAAACAAACAAATAAATAAATAAACAAAAGAAAAAAAATTTAGCAGCAGCTGGGCACTGGTGGCTCACACCTATAATCCTAGCTACTTGGGAGGCTGAGATCAGGAGGATTGTAGCTCAAGGTCAGCCTGAGCAAATAGTTCAGGACATTCCATTTCCAAAATAACCAGAGCAAAATGAGCTGGAGGTGTGGCTCGAGCTACAGAGTGCCTGCTTTGCAAGTACAAAGCCCTGAGTTCAAAATCCCTCAATGTGAGCCACTGGGAGATTTCATGGAGAGTGACAGATAGGCACTTCTGCTGAAAAAGCTCAAGTTGGTGACCAAGGAGGGCCAGGGCCTAAACTGAGCAGCCTCTGCAAGCAATCCAGAGAAGAACGGACAGTGGCCTGAATGAGAAGTGAGAATGAGGATGGAGGGAGGAAAAATGGATTCCAAAAATATTTAAAAATATTTAGTAGCCTGTACTCCTGGCTACTGGGGAGGCTGAGGCAGAAGGATCACTTGGGCCCAGAAGTTCAACCAACCCAGGCAACGAAACAAGACCCAGTCTCAAAAAAAAAAAAATAAATTTCTAGGATTTGTTGATTTATTATATCTGAGGGTGGGAAGAGAAAAAAGGAAGGTGAACGGGACATCCCATCACCCAAGATGAAAATACCAGAAGGAACTCTTTTGGGTGAGTGGGTTGGGGGAGACAACAAACCCAGGTTGGGATATTTTTAGTTGGACATGTCTGTGACATATTTGCCTACAACTGTGGATCTGAACTCCAGGGCTGAAATCTGAGCCAATCGTATCAGTGTGAGAGTCACGACAATGTGAGGGTCCTGCCCCTGGAGTGGATCCCCCTTGTCCTTGTAAGAGAATCTCGTGAAGACTGTGGTGAAACTCTGGGGAATGCCAATAATGGAAAGATGGGTAGAGAAGTGATCAAAGGAGACTGGCAAGAAACAGGGAGAGAGATGAGAGCCGGGAGGAGGGAGCTGTCTTGGGAACAAGGGCAGAAAGGGAACATTCCACAACAGAGAAGCTGGTGAGATAAAGACTGGAAATATCCATGAGGCTGAAGGAAATGTTGGTCACTGGTAGAGGAGGAGGAAGAGAACAAACCGGGTGGAGGCTGTGCTGTAATCCCAGCATTCAGAAGGCCAAGGCAGGAGGACCACAAGTTCAAGGCTAGCCTGGGCTACATAGGGAGAACCTACCTTGAATGAATGAATAGAGAAATGGCGTAGAATAGTATCTGGGAAGCCAGGAAGAGGAAATCGATGGAGTTCTGGTGAGCTGAGAAGGAAGGGAGGGAGACAAATGAGCAAGGAGCTGGAGGGCATGGGTGGAAAGGGCTCTGAGGGCCTCAGGTCATTCCCAACAGAGGGCAGGGAAGCAAATTTCTAAGGACAGTTAGGCTAAGACATGGAGAATCCCAGCTGACAAAGCTTGTCTCATGTCATAGCTTATCTTCTGAGTTTATTTAAGGCCCTGAACTTGTCACTGGGAATTCAAACAAGTTGTCAGACAGGGTCTGACAACACCAGTTTAACACCTGGGCCCAGTCATAGCCTACTTAAGGATGCAAGGTAACCAACTGCCTGCCTAGGTTACACTACTTAGAGTCATACCACTTTCTAAAGGCAAGACCTGATTAATACATGTACAGCGTCAATGATCTTGCTGAAAGTGGGAAGGGTAGAGGTTGGGTTTGGCCAACCCAACCCCGTCAGTGACTCAGCGTGGGTTAGGTTAACAGTAACTCACTCTCCATGCAAACATACACTCTCATCAAATTTGTAGTCACCAAACCAAGTTCACAGTGTCAAAAGCCCAGAGCTGAGGCAGCTATAAATAAGTATGTATGGATGTTAAGACATCCTACAGAGGACAGTCTCAACTGTGTGGCATACAAGGAAATCTCTGTGCAACACGGTGAGGTAGTGAGGAACAAGCAAGGACAAAAGTAAAAAGGCTTTTCCCGCAGTTTGAAAATAATATTTAAGGTCCAATATAACATGTTTCCTGCTTACTTCGACAAACATCTCCTACCGTTCACTTTCTGCCTTGGCCACTGTCTCCTTTCTCTTCCTCGAACACACCATGTTCTCTTGGTCTGGAATTTTTTACCCTCAGAGCTCAGTTGAGAAGGTTTCCTTCTTGCCATTCCTATCTCAGGTGAAATGTCCTCCCAAAGAGGCCATATTTAAATTCTCCACCTGATACCCACTTCAGTATCCACTGCGCTATTAACCTCTGCTTTTTTTTTTTTTTTTGGTGGTACTGCAGTTTGAACTCAGGGCTTCATGTTGCTAGGCGCTCTACCACTTGAGCCATCCCTTCAGCCCTTTCTTGTGTTGGGTATTTTCAGTATCAGGTCTCAAGAACTACTTGCCCAGGCTGGCCTCAAACCCCAACCCTCCTGATCTCTGCCTCCTGAGCAGCTGGCATTACAGGCATGAGCGCCAGCCCCAGCTTCTCCTTTGTCCTATTTTACTTCATTTCATTTCCTTGCTTCCTTCCTCCCTCCCTCCTTCCCTTGTCTTTCTTTCTCTTTCTTTCTCAGTACTGGGGATTGAACTCAGCACTCAGCCCTTATCTCATCACTTTCTGAGTTTGGTTTGTTTCTCTTCCCTGTGGAATGTCAGTTTTGGAACATGGGCCCACCTGTGCCTTGCTTTTTTATCCACAATGCCTAGAACAGTGCCTGGCACATAAACGCAGCGAGTGGAAAGTAGTGAACAGTGGAAGCTGGGCACTAAGCAGAAGGGAACGTAAGACCAAGGAAAGGCAGGAGGCATGGGGGAGTGCGGTGCTCAGAAGGCTTGCATACATCTGCAGATCCTGAAGAAGCTTACCGAGAGAACTCCTGCAAGTGAGGCAGGTGAGTAATGTCAATGGGAAGGGGTGGACAGGATGACGCCACCCTATGGACCACGGCTCATGCCAGCTTTATGTGACGGATTTATCTGCTAGGTTACTGGAGTTTACTAAATGCCCTCTGGCACACTTAGGACAGATGAGTTTAGAAAGGCTTCTTAAAGCGTTGTTATCTTGGTCAGTGAGGCTTAAAACCTGATCCTCGGGAAAGGAGCAGATGGGAGATGCTAAGAAGCGCTTCCTTTATGGGGGAGGCTCTCATTGTAAACAGGTTGGGGAGAAAGGTCTGGTGTTGAACTTCAGGGACCATGGAGAACTTAGCAGAGACCTGGACTTACGTCACAGCCTGCACAATCCTTTATACCAACTAAAGGACAAATGGCACAGAAATCGCATTTCAACCAAAACCCCATGCATTTGAAAAGCAGAACTTGGGGAAGAGAAAACACATACCAGAGGCAAAAGGGGAAGTAACAGCTGCACCTCTCTTGGTTATGAAACCATAATCTCCAAATGTAAAAATTTCCTTTTGTCACTTGGAGATGTCTCAGAAAGTTCTATGGCATTGCTCTCTGCCACCAGAAACAGGCTAGATGACTTGCAAAGGTTCCCATCTACCAGGGCTATTTATTGAATTTTACCATTGCTTTCTATCTGCCTGCGGCTGGTCATTAAATAAATTCATTTCAAACAACATTAACTTCCCTAAGCTGTTCTATTCTAGGAGGTAGACAAGGCAATCACTCTGTTTCTTAAAAGCAGATTTGAAGCCAGAAGCCTTTGGCTCACACCTGTAATCCTAGTTGGGAGGCAGAGATCAGGAGGATTGCAGTTTGAGGTTAGCCTGGACAGACAGTTCCTGAGACCCATCTCCAAAATAACCAGAGCGAAATGGACTTGAGGTGTGGCTCAAGCGGTACAGCACCTGCTTTGCAAGCACGAAGCCCTGAGTTCAAACCCCAATTCCACCAAAAATAAATAAGTAAGTAAATAAATACTAACTGAGAGCAAGACATTGTCTTGACCATCTCTGAAAGCACAAGTGAGTGGTGGAAGCAACCAGACCCAAGTGGAAGAGGTCTTTTTGAATCCAAGTTCAACACCTACCAGGAGTTTCAAACAGACTGACAGGAGGTCAGAATCACTTTTTGTTTGGCCCAGTCTTTTTAAAGGTACTATAATAATAGTCAGCTGTAATGCCTGGGCACAATACAATTTTGTACCTGCTTTCTTAAAAATAGATACTACAGGGCTGGAGGTGTGGCTCAAATGGTAGAGCACCTGCCTAGCAATCTTGAGGTCCTCAGCAATCCCCAGAACCAGCGGGGGGGGGGGGGGGCCTGCTGTAATCATTTGTTTTGTCTGTGTGCAGCTAACATGCATTCTCAATGCATTGTCATGCTATGGTGTGCTCCAGCAACCCTATGGAAAAAGCTGATGCAAGTCTCCAATATATATGTAAGGAAGAACAACAAATTATGGTCTGGTGGTACAAAAAGTACCTATTTTCTGTAACTTAGTTTTGAATCTTCTATAAAAATTCACTTCAGCAGATGGGTATGGTGGTACACATCTGTATTCCCAGCTACTTGGGAGATAGAGGCAGGAGGATCCGGGGTTGGAGGTCTGCTAGGGCAGTTACTGAGATCCTATCTCAAGAACCAAATAAAAACAAAGGGCTAGGAATTTAGCTCAAGTGGTAAAGCACTTACCTAGTATATGCGAGTCCATCCCCACTACAGCAAAAATAAAAATTAAAAAAATAATCATGCCAGCATTTTTTTTTTTTTCAGAAAATCTGAAAACATCCTTAAAACACATACCTTTGATGTCAAAACTCCAGAAAAAAATAAAGGGATTTCGGCTTTCTGAGTAAAGAAAGCCAGCACAGAGGGTCAGGAGCAATACATATGAATGAACCATCAGGAGTTAACCCGACACCCTTCTCTACCCCAACCCACATCCTTCCAGATCAAACCAAATGAAAGAGCTGAAGGGAAAGGGAGGAGAGAGAAGCTGCCAGCACAGGCTCCAACAGTCTCTGTGTGTTGCTACTCGCTTTGCATTTGGCAGAAGTGACATCACTGGGGCAAAATCCATCAAGAGTCAGCAAGCTTGGCTTCTGTCTTTGTGCTTTACAGTGACCTACTCACCAAAGCACGTTGACACGCAAGGACATGAGCTTGAGAATGAACCATCACTCAAAAACTGGAGAACCCTGTCAGCGAGGCAGTGATTGGAAAACTATGCAGATCTAGAAAGGAATTATATATACTGATGTGGGAAAAAGTCTGTGGTGTGTTAAGTGGCGTTTTGTGCTCTCCCTCTCTGCAACATGTATAGAAAAGGTCTGGAAGGGGTGCCAGAATGGGGGCAGAGCTGGCACTGAGGTTGAGTCCTTGTACCCACTACACTTCTTTCCAGTAGACTTTTTTCAGGGTTTTGGTGGTGCTGTTTTTGAATTCAGGGCCTTGTGCCTCCCAAGTAAATGGGATTACAGGTGTAAGTCACGATGCTCAGCCCTTTTTTTGTTGGGGGGCAGGGTCTCACTGTTTTGAGGCTGACTTGGAGATCAGTATGTAACCCAGGCTGACCTCAAACTTTTGATCTTCCTTTCTCAGCATCCCAAGTGCTGGGATTACAGGCATGCATTACCACAGCAGCCTACAGTACATTAAACAAACAACAACAAAAAACTTTTGAAGCCAGGTTTGTCGGTGCATATCTGTAATCTCAGCTACTCAGAAAGCTGAGGCAAGAGGATCACAAGTTCCAGGCCAACCTGGAATACGCAGTAAGATAAGACCTTGCCTCAAAATAAAGTTAAAAAGTCCTACGGATGTAGCTCAGTTGTAGAGTGATTGCCTAAGCATGCATGGGTTCAATTCCACACCACACACACACACACACAATTACAGTAAGCATATGTTGCTTTTGAAATTTTAAAAGCTTACACTTGGATCAAAAAAAATTGAACAGTGTGAGGTTCTGGAGGCTCACGTATATAATTCTAGCTACTCAGGAGGACAGAGATCAAGAAGGAGGATCGAAGCCAGCCCAGGCAAATAGTTCTTGAGACCCTACCTCCAAAAAACCCTTCACAAAAAAGGGCTGGTGGACTGGCTCAAGGTGTAGACCCTGAGTTCAAACCTCAGTATTGCCAAAAAAAAAAAAAAAAAAAGAACAGCTACTGTTCCAAGATAGTTGTAGTCTACTGAGCCAATATGTCAGGGAAATTTTTTACTGCGATCTCCATCATTTTTTTTATCTTTTTTTTTTTTTTCCCCCTTGAGAAGGGTCTTATGCTATAACCCAGGCTGGTGTGGCATTTGCCATGTAGCCCAGGCTGGCCTCAAATGATTGAAATCCTGGGTTTTCAATCATTCTTAACACTGCTGGGAGAAGCAGTTCTA